TGGTAGATTCATTGGACTAGTGAACTACTATCGAGACATATGGATCAGACGATCACATGTACATACAACGTCGGGGATCCCAAGAAAAGGAATCCCTGTCCATTTCATTGCTTGACAATGATGATCCCGTAACCGAATGGTTCGAGATTGCCGAGATCTGCTCCAATGCAGCAGACGAAGTAGCCATCGTTCTAGAACAGACGTGGCTTACCCAGTATCCATGGCCTGCTGAGGTTATCATGGAAGAGGACGCTGAGTTCCGCGCAGAAGTTGAGAAGACTCTCCGGGATGAATATGGACTTCGTCGCAAGTTCATTACCACACGTTTTCAATCGTGACGCGATTCACAACGTCCGTTTCGAAGTAAACTGGAAACACATCAAAGAACGTCGCCAACGACTCATCCAGAAAAACAATGATAAGGAACGTGACGCGTGTCCCTCATCAATACAATGTCAACGATACTGTGATGATTCAAACAGTATCAGCACCGCAAGTACGGTCAGCCAAAGTACAAAGGTCCTTACAATATTGACCGAGTCAATAACAATGGCACTGTACGGCTCCGACATGCTACCGCCAATGGCGGCACAGTCTACCAGACTTGGAACATAAGGTATTTACACCCATACAAGGCCTGAATCCCTTGTAGATTGCCATCGTGCGACGCACATGTCTACATCCAATCTCCGGAGAGTGCCCCACACTTTAATTCATATGTTCTCCTTGTCCGACTGATGTCGTGCTTCTGTGACCCTTGTCAGGGGGCGAATGCAATACACGGCTCTTAGCCTTATTCGCGACTCGATCCTAGATAGGGTTTGAGTTCGACTCATGACTGAGTCTCTCGTGAATAGTTATTGAGACAGGGTTCTCAATGACCGCTCTAGTCATACTAGGTGTATGATGAAACATCGCTCTAGATATTTAGCCAGCGTGGAGTACTTCCACGCTACTAGATCCATGCTAGACGAATCTTCCACGCGTCCGTTTTAGGATCGTGAGATACGTAGGATTACTACCGAAAACCTACTCTATCACACTTTATAGTCTCCCGCGGGAGACCAGATCTACGATCCTTTGATGGTGATCTCTTCTCGTTGATTAGTTTTCATAGCTTTCTAATCTCTCTCATACTCATAACTTTCATTCTCTCAAACACAAAACACTCGAAAGATCTTTACACTAGCTTTTAGCGTAGTGCAATGCGTATTTCGCCAGTGTATTGGGCATTGAGAACTTTCTGTAGGCATTGGAGTGCAAAGCATGTGCCTTGCTTCTGAGCAACCTCGTTGTCTTCATTTACAATCCCATTGACTCCGAAGTTGTTGCTCTTGTTGTTCTCGAAGGCGATGTGAACGTAGTGTGAGAAATATGCATGGCCTTCGGTCACACTCGTGGAGAATGCGGCGGCGACGCTGGCGGTCTTGCCACTGCCAGTAGGGGCAGCGATATACTTGGCTGTCGGTCGACTGTTTCCCTTCCCCGTCCTCTCGAGCTGGGATGCCAAAACCTGCAGGTCCACTTTGCGGGCGTAGTAAGGATAGTCCACAATTTTTTGCCAAGTTCTGTTGGCGCTGTGGCGGAAAGGAAGATGACCAACATATGTGTCCCAGTCTTCAAACAAAGGAAACCTCTTCGATCCGGTGGTCGTTCCATTCTGCATGACTCGATCAAAGACTTGCTTGAGCATGTAGCTCGGCTTGTGCGGGACGTAGCCCAACATGTCGGGTACCTGGGCTGAGATGCACCACCAGACGTCGCCTACACCACCCTTTTGTTGCGCAATAGTGAGGGAAATTTCCAGCCCTTCCCCATTTCCCCAATGCTTCTTTACGCGCTTGTAGTCTAGCTCCACGTCGAGAGGTGGAATGAGACCCCATATGGAATCGGGCCTACCAACCAAATCGTCGAAGGCTGCGTTACTCTGAATAAAATATCCATCTTCTTGTGCCACTGCCACTGCCACCGGAGTGCTTGTAGAATACATGTTCTCTTGGGTGCTCTTCAAGTCTAAGTCAGTCATCTTGCTGTGCTACTGTATGTCATACTTTGGATGGATGCTGTGTCGTGTTTGTTGTTGTTATTGTGGTGCCTGCACAAGCTTTAGCCGGGAAACACTCACTTCGATTGCCTTTGTGGCTACCGGTACTAGCTAGTACAGTACTGATGGGAGTGTTATTTGGTGGGCGAGTGCGCGTATGTGTTTACCCTTGAACTGTCATCTCAGCGGGGGGGGGAGGGCATTGCCTCAGTTGGTGTAGTGGTGGTCATGGTAGGAGAGGGTAGAATTGGATTTGAAGTTGGGCGACACGGGTATATTTAGTTCCCTTTGTCGGACGTTTAAGGCCTGTGTGTCTAGGTGGTGTATATGTGGGTAGTGGTATTGTAGGTTGGTGTTAGTGTTTGTTGGCTAGTAGCGGTATCAGTGTCGTTCCGTTCGAGGATAGAGGTTCGTTTGAGGATAGAGGTTCGTTCGTCGATAGAGGTGCGTTCGTTCGAGGATAGAGGTGCGTTTCGAGGATAGAGGTGCGTTCGTCGATAGAGGTGCGGTGTTCCGTTCGTCGTGCGATAGAGGTTCGAGGATAGAGGTTCGTTCGAGGATAGAGGTTCGTTTCGAGGATAGAGGTTCATTCGAGGATAGAGGTTCGTGTCGTGGATAGAGGTTCGTTCGTCGATAGAGGTGCGTTCGTCGATAGAGGTGCGTCGATCGGTGTACAGGCTGAATCTAAACTATCAAGACAAACGCAAGCCCGCTCCCGGTAAGACATTCGAATGCGAACCGGAACGTCCTGGATGGTTCCTCGAAAAGACTTAGGGGACCCATTTAGCCTTAACCTTAATCTCAACTGACATCACTTGGATCGATCGATCGATCCAAGCCACTCGTACTATTTTATAAAATAGCTAGACTAGTACACCTCATTTTTTCATTATTTCGATACCTCTATCTTTGCTCTATCAAGATGATGCTTCCTCCTCTTCTTTACAGCGGCTACTCCTCTTAACAAAGGCTACTACTCACCACCATGACAGGCTCCTCTTGTTTGGTTGTTAGCGGCAGCGGTTGCGGCAGCCGTTCGATCGTTCGACTTATCGATTCGGTTGACGACTGACTTTGCGACCATGACGCCTCCTCTTCCACGGAGCGATCGGAGCCATGTTGCCTCTACCGTTAATGCAACAACAATAAGCGACTACTACTACTACTACTACTACTACTACTACTAGAACAACAAGCGATGTCAACAAGCGTCTTCCGTTCGACGGATCGATTCAGTCTTCTGCCGGCGACGACGAGTCGACCTTTCTTCCGGCGACGACACTTTCACTCTTCTGGCAGACCACAACAAGGCTCCTGCTCTAATGCACTACACAAGGAACAAGCAGCATCTACTCTACCTACTCTACTACTGTTTTCACTTGTCGGGCGACCACAAACATGAAAATCTGCACAATTTTGGCCTTGGTTGAGCCAACAATCTCTTTTGAACCTTTGGGATGGGTTCTCCAGTCTTCATGCAAAGCCACCCATCCATTTACATGACTCTACAGTGCAGATTGAGTGCTGAGAGTGAAGACTGGAGGACCTTTCCCATGGAGAAATCCATGGCAGAATGACAAACAAAATGGAATCCAAGTCTGATTTTTTATAGAGGCTCCATAGGAAACCTTGGAGATAGCTAATGCTTTTGAAGAGGAGTGTCTGTGAGTGTGTTGGGGAGCTACTCCTCTGAAAGCATTAGCTATCTCAATGTATTGGTAAAGCTAATAGCCATTTGGTCAACACTGTTGCCATGGTGATAAAATTCATTTTATTAGCTTCAATCTTTTCTTTATTCCAACTAGTCATTTCAATGCAGGATTCACGAAATGACAACTTCCGGGTTCCCATTTCCGAAAACCAAAACATAACTGTCAAAAACGCTCACATTTTGACACCTGTCAGCGGTAAATAAAGTCATCCTGTAGCGGATCGGTGGTGGTATTGTTATCGGTTGTATAGAAGGATCTTATAACATCTGTTGAAGAGACTAAAGGTAGCGAGATGTATTACGAATGATGTTATAAGATTATGAGGAAAAGCTACTTTGTTGTCTCTTGATATCTGTAGATGAGTGGAGGCTAGATTCCGGTTGACAGTGGACGGTCAGACGGCCGGAATCAGCAAATCGGTTGCTTCTTTTATGATAAGATTGGGCATGCATGTAATACTTAGAGCTAAATAAATTTACCTACTAGCTAGCTAGTAGTGCTACTAGTAGGGATCTCGCAGAGACGAGGACGCAAAGCCCTTCAGGGATTAACATACTAAAAGATTCACCGTTAAGCTTTCTCAAGATAGGGCAGGGGTTAGCCCGAGACGAAGCAACAAAATCGACAGGGACGTAACTTACTTGAGAGGGAATGAATTAGTCTGCTAGCTAGTCCAGTATGGAGAGAACACGGCACGGAGGCTCTGTGTGTAAGAGCGCTTCAGAGTGTCACGGTAGTCCAGTGGAACTTCAAAAGTAGATGACTCGACTCGCAGTCAAGGGTCAGATTGGAGCGTCGAGTCGAGTCGCTCCTAGCCTCGTCCTATATCATAATAACTGTGTCCTATATCACTGGAACGAGCTAGCTAGTACCGTAGACAGACCCCAAGTTTCAAAGGAGGCCTCGGCTCAAAGATTTAGCTCTTCTGATCAGTCACAGTGAAGAGAAAAAGAGGCAAGCCACCAAAATATGCTACACACGTTAGGCTTGTGTCAACAACCAGGCTAGGAGCCTTATCCTTCTTACTCGATGCTATCTTCTTGAAGATTCAGAGAGAAACATGAGCTAAAGAACAGTACTAAGGAGCAACTATTGGCTCACAAAAAAGACCTGCAATATGAAACCTGCTGCACCATTATGTTTAAACTTTCTTTTTCCACTATTGTGTTTTTGTCAACGGCCTTGTGTCAACCACAATCTTGCATGTAAAAATTCATTCATTCGAGCTCCACCGAAACAACTACCTACTTGCCAGCAGCCATGGCAGCAACTTCATCCGCAAAGCTAGGCTCATCTTTCTTCTCGATACCTTCCCCAACTTCAAGTCGAACAAAATTGTCAACCGATGCACCCTGCTCCTTCAAAATGTCTCCCACACTCTTCTTGGGTTCCATGACAAAGGGTTGCCCAGTCAAGGAGACTTCACCGGTGTATTTTTTCATGCGTCCTGCCACCATTTTTTCGGCAATATCTTGTGGTTTTCCTTCATTCATGGCGATATCGACCTGCACCTTGCGTTCCTTGTCGACCACTTCCTGAGGGACATCGTCGGGCGTCAAGAATTGCGGATTGGAAGCACAGACATGCATGCAAACATTCTTGAGTGTCTGATCTTCCCCCTCTCCCGTCACCACCACACCAATCTTGCCGCCATTGTGCAAATAAGTGGCAATCTTGTCGCCTTCCACATATTGGACACGACGGACATTGATATTCTCTCCAATCTTGGCGACGAGTGCCACCCGTTCCTCTTCAAATTGCTGCTGGAGATCTTCCAGGGATGCCTTGCTGTCGGCGGCAGTTTGTGCCACACTGTTGGCAAATGCCAAAAATGTCTCATCCTTGGCCACAAAGTCAGTTTGGCAATTGACTTCCACCATGGCAGCGGTATCATCGCTCTGCTTGATAATGATTTTTCCTTCGGCAGCCACTTTGGTGGCCTTTTTGGCCGCTTTCAATGCTCCCGATGTCCGCATGTTTTCAATGGCCTGTTCAATATCTCCTTCGGTTTCGAGCAATGCCTTTTTGCAATCCATCATTCCAGCACCGGTCTGGTCACGGAGTTCTTTAATGAGAGTCGGAGTGACCTTGACGAACAACGCCGTGGTGCTGACGATGGGGTGATTGTTGCTGGAAGAAATCGCGGGGGCAAACGCCATGACGGCAGGAGCTGCCAAGAGGGCAGCGATGGAAAGAGTAGAGAAGAACTTCATGGTGGCTAGACTAGCTAGACGAATGGATTGATTATTATTGATACAGAATGGAACGACTTTGGATTGCCGATTGTGTGTTCTGTGGTCTTGATGTCTTTGGAAGCCAACCTCAACCGACTGCTTTCTCGTTTTTGAGGATGGTGTTGAACCGTGAGCCACTGACGTCAGGTCCTGGCCGTCGCCCGATCATGTGCCTCCGTTCGTTCATTATTTTGAGAACAAATAAATCCAAACCAAAATCCTAACACAAATCCAAAATCTCCAAAGATCCAACCACCATGTCGAGATCGACGACACCGCTATCGTTGCTACATGTAGTAGTAGCTTTGCTGTATCTGCAGGTTGTCGGGTCGTTCCACCTGGTCTCTCAGTATCAGTATACTAATAGTCCGCAGAAGCAATCGTACCGAACGACGCCGCTGTACGCCCTTCCCAAAGACCAACTGTTGCAACTCGCCAAAGAGTACGTGGCGAATCCTTCGTTGGAAGCGTTAGCCGATGACTTTATCTTTCGAGGTCCCGTAATTGGTCCCTTGAACAAGAAGGATTTCGCCGCCACATTTGAATCCGTGGCCAAGAGCGAAAATGACATTGGCACGGCATTTCCCGACATGGAACCCAATGCCTTTGGTTTTACCGCCGACGATCCCGTAGAACCCAATCGAGTCTGGTACTTTGTACGACCCCGCGGAACCTTTACGGGTCCTTTTGATCACCCCGTCGTGGGGCGCATTGAACCCACGGGAGCCAAGTACATTGCTCCTCCTGAAGCGAGATCTGTCATTTTCAATGACGAAGGCAGAGTCCAGTATCAGAGCGTTGGGTACGTGACGGATCGATTCACGGGAGATACCACGGGTGGACAGGGGGCCGTATTTGGACTCTATGCCGTCATGGGACAAGAACTGGATGATACTGTGGGGAGCCCTGTTACCGTGCTTCTGCAAAAAATAGCGGAATGGTTGCCAGAAGGAATGGTGCCCAAATCCTACTCCAAAAAGGAGGAATTGCCATCGTGGTGGAAGGATGAACGAATGGGTGCCCAAAAATAGCAAACGAATTGGTCACTTTGGGAGTTTTATTTGAGCTCAATCGAGTCGACAATCTATCCATCCATCCATCTGCCGACCGACCAATCAGGCAACAGGATCCAAATGGTATACATCACAGGTACGTTCAGGGACGCGGTTTGCTGTTTGTTGGTTGTCGCAGTTGGACGTTTGTTTGTGGCGTGCTTCCATCCCGGTTTCGTGTTGGATGTCCGTATATGACTTTACTCTCTTAGTTGAGAATAAATTGGACGGCGTCTGTTAATACCGGGGCAAAGAAATTGGAGGATCGGATTACCGCATGGCAACGCCGACAAGGCGTTGTTGGTTCTCCATTATGGTCCTCCGTCTTTTTCGATACACTTTGCAATCTCTGTTGCTCTTTATGCTACAGCATCAGAGAATCTATGTTGTCGATACATATATATTCATACCATGTTCCATTAATGAAAGATTGTGTCCGGGGGTTGGTTGGAGTGTTGGAGAAGGATATTACACTCTCCTACTTGATCAGTCAACGCAACAACTAACTAATACTTGTCATTGTTTCTCTCTTTCCATTCGTGAATTGAAAAGATTACTTCGTCAGTCAAATTGATCCTGATGAACCACTCGGGGGTACAAGTGGCTGTTCCAACAGGCTACTAGAACATCACTCACTCGATGATGGAAGCCAGTCTTCTTAGCTTTCTCATGCTGGGGAAGGGCCATCACATCAATGGCACCTTGATCACGGTGCGACTCAACAACCACCAAGGAGACATTTGGAGGTAAAATCAGTACGGAGATCGCCACCATCTTGCTTGAACGACCAGACATAAGGAGTGGGAGCATGAGAGGGATCAGTGGGGTCAATTGGAGCAATTGCTGGGCGAGCAAGAGTGATACGAGGTTCGTTTCAGAGGGAACGAAAGCAACAGGCACCACTATGATTCTAGGAGATTTCTTTTGCAACTATTTGTTGTACATGTACTATTAGCGCCGATGAAAACTACATGTACATGTATCAGCGCGCCTTGAATCTCCGGGGGCTGCGCCTTTTATTTACCCTGGGTATGAGCATACGGACCCACAAGGAATCCCCTGGCCTGGACTTCATCTTTTAAATTAATAAAAGAGCAGATTATGATGAGAATGTCACCGACCAACGTCAAGTCTATGAGCCACCTGTCCACATTCTGAGTGAGGCAGCACTCTCGTACTGTTCCGTACTGGTACACCGTACCGTCCCAGTGTTTCTCTAGAGTGTGACAAGCTTTGGTCAACTGTGCGTCTCTATTGAACAACTATTCAAAATGCCGTTGCGAGAAAGGAACATGGCCTTCGAAGACCACAACTTCCAGACATCCTCAGCTTTCGCTCAATTGTGAGGTGGTTTCCTTCTCAAGCAGCACGAAAGGCGACGATCGATTTCTAAAGGATAATGCACCTTAATTACCGGTACCCTGGCTGTTCTCCCTCGGTCAATAAAAGCCGCTCCTGTTGCTTTGGGTAGAGCCGCCCAGTCTTGATCTTCCTGGCCATTGGTGCTTGTCTCCAGACGACTGCAAGAGACAGAGATTCATTCAAGTTTCCCTGAAGGCACGCACGACCCCCGTTGGCATCTCCAGCTGATACTAAACTTCGGCGAAGTACCTACAGAACGCTTGATAGGCCATTACTTTGAATCTACCGTTGCAGTTAAGTTAGTCAACAACGAAGCTGATCAATCATCATGTCCGCAGATATTGTTTACATGGTTCTGGTCGGCGCAGGCGGAATCTTGACCATGGTAGTGGCGACCTACGTCTTGGCCGTCGCAGCCGATCGGATTTGCTCCAGTCCCTACTCGACCACACGAATCTTTAGCCCCATTAGTAACGCCGCTGGAATTTGGGGAATGAGTCCTGAAGACCGTGAAAAGGTGCTGGAGAAGCTCTTTTCCAACAAAAAGAGAATCAAGACGTTTGACAAGACCATGGTGGCAGCCAACAACAACAAGCCTCAAGGAGAAGGAATTGAAATGGTGGAAATCAAAAAGTCATCTGCATCCAAGAAAGAGGAGGATGTGGAAATTGGAATGAATGGCACTCCCATGAAGGATGCAACGGGAAAGTCCGGAAACGGTGAGATGGAAATTGAAGCCAAAGATGACGACGAAACTAACAGCGACGGCGAAGCGCAGGTGGAGAAGTCCATTGCCATGGCGCATGACCTTCCCGCCGAGAGATTGGACCACACTTGCTCCATTTGTCTCGTTGAGTATGGTAAGCATGTTGCAAACAAACAGTCTCTACTGTGTTGTAGACAGATATAGCTGGCTGACAGACCCCGGTCCCTGACCATCTATCGTACTGTCTGATTGCAGAACACGGCGACATTTTGATGAATGGCACAGCCTGCTCACATTTGTATCATAAGGAATGTATCATGGCATGGATGATGAAGGGCCATGACCATTGCCCCTTCTGCCGCGAGCTCATGATGACTCCTCAGGATCTCAGGACAGCAGCTCTAGAGGTCCTGGGGCCTCAAAAAGTTCAACAACTCTCGAGATCGAACGAACCAGTGCGGTGGCAACAGCTTCCGGCTGACCCTGGTACCACAGCATCTGCTTCGGCCGCCTCCAGCACTGTCGCAGCTGTGGCCGTTTCCAACGACAATGATGTAGAAGCCGCAATGGCTTCTACACCGTCGAGGGACGCGGTTGTCAAGCCACAAGCCGAAGACGAGGCCCCAACCTCATCATTGGAGGGCACACCATACGAAGGCATGGGTACCGGACCAGATGCCAAACCAGCGGCCAAGCAATCACCGCCACCAAATGACGGTGATGCTGACAAGGTAGAGTTGCAAGCTCAAGCCGAACCGGAAACGACAACAACCACTGAACAAAGCAAAGAATCAACAGACTCAGCAGATCCTATATCCGAAACAACGAAGGAACAGACCACCCCTGAAGCAACAAATCGCAATGACGACAACATGAGCACAGAGGAGATCGCGGGTGACGCCGAAACGGTTGACGAAGACCCAAATTCGCAAAAGGCATGAGCCTGTGGACTCGGCTGGCTGTTTTGGCTCGAGTTGTCTGCAAGAAGGTACCATACGAGCTGCAATGGCCGTTCAGACCACGTCCGCTATAGTTTCTCCTCGGATTTTTCCTAGAGTGTCCGGCGAAGGCCACTTATTCGCGGAGAAAGTTTTGATAACTTGTAGTCTGAACTAGAAGTGCAGTTTGATTTCATAAAATGCAAGTAGTGAACCAATGGTCGTTTAGAAGCCTTAAAAAACAGCTGTACGGTATTGTGCGTGCAGAATAGAGCATGATCTAATGTTGTGAAGCGCGACACATCTGTCCGGTAGGTTCCAGCATTGCATGGCCACAAAGCGGAGTTTCGAGAGATGAGTGACTATTAATACCGGGTGCAGATGCCACCAACAGTTGATTCTGCCAGATGGTCATGCACAGGCCTGCCTTGGGGAGTACCGTATGGTGGCGCTAACTTGTCATAGACCGAAGACAACTTTCCACTGTAGACTTGGTGAGGTCATCTGAGCAGGACCACCAGAACTAGATGCGAAACCGTTGGCAGGAATGCAAGATAGCTCGAGGAACAAGTATGTGTTGATTTGGAGCGCTGAAGTATTATTGAATCGAACACCATCGTACACGAAAATGAATTTGGTACAATTCTGTATTCGATCTGCCATCATTGTGAAATAGAACGGCTGGGCAATTCCTTGATTTGCCAACACAATCATGATCCTTTGTAACGATGTAGATGTAAAAGTGTCCGTACCGGTATGGCTCTAGCTCGCTACGGAAGTAGACCAGAGAATGGAAAATGGAATGAGCACAGCCACAGTACCCAAGTTGACGGCCCATCAAGTGAGTTCACTACGCCATTCTGTTGTTCCTCCCATTCGAATTGTTCTGGCAGTGATGGCCTCCGGTAGCTAGCTAGTGAGAGAGTTTGACGTGTGCGAACTTTTGCGTTTCTTCCACCGATGACGTGGTGCATTTTGTGCGCGTGAGCTAAGGCTTATGAAGAGCAAGGGGATCATCTATCTGGTACAATTTGACCGTTTCTCATCCATCTCAAGGACCTCTTTGCCGCCTCCATTCATTCCCGTACGGTAGCTAAGGTATCATAATATATTCCAACCTATCTTACTGTACTAGTACTAGTACTCTAGCTAGTAGTTGCCAGCCACCAGTAGAATCGTCTCTATGATTGTCACTAAGATAGATGTTTGCTGCCATAGTTTGGTTACTACTGAACTCATGAATGATGTCTGCATCCATGTTTTCTGACATGTGGTTGCAGTTATCAGAGGAAGCAACTTCTGGACTTGCTAGTTAGTTAGTGCCACTACCTTCTCTAGTAGAGGTATCTAGCTACTTGTTGCAACCTTGTGACAGCTGTACCACCGGGAACAAGTTCAGCGATGGAGCATACTACATGTATTGCTGTTTCGGTGGTACGAGCACTGGTACCGGTGTGAATGGATTGAATCATCCAATCTATCGTTCCTTTGACACCGAGTAGGAGACAGAAACAAGAGGAAAATGAGAACGTATCACGATTTATTTGTTTGAGTATACTAGTACTGTGGTACAGCTGTAGCTGGATGGTTTGGTATCTTTTAGCAAAGAGAAGAAGCTTCATGGTAGCACCAACAATTTTGGCCCAAGCAACAAAGCTTCATCTCAGGTTCTTTCATCCGTGACGGTGTTGATCGGCAGCCTCGTCGTCAATTAGCGGTTTGGCAAAGCTAACGTAAGGCCGTCCAATCGTGCTGCCAAGAAAGATGGCGTGAAGTGGGATCATTCAAAAAGACACGGACAAAAAGAGCGGGAAATCGGTCTTGGATGTTTGCGAGAGATCCGATTGATCAACCACATCCAGTTGAGTCCCCTTTCTGCGGAGAGGATAGAGAAAGAGACGACGACAAGAAAGATCATAGATTAGAATTTGTTTCTGTCGCTACCACCATGAAGAAGGAAGAAAGGGTCAGGTACATTGCGGCCATTCGTCAACCGCATCACCTCCGCCAGACGGTGGAATCACATTCTTCCTGTTTGGAGGATGTGGAGGCAAACCAAGTAACAAAGTTTGCAGGCTACAAGTTGAAAGGGATCAACAAGGTGCGTCAATCCTCATTCTTTCAGTTGCGTCGTTGGAGCATTCGCTCGTCCACTTTGGATGATCATCTCTCAACTCTCTCTCCAATTCGTTCATATTGAATTCAACAGGTGCAGAACTTTTACAGCCATTTCAGCAACCACATGGGTGCATGGCACGTCAAGGGTATCAATGGTGTCACATATATCGTTCTGACCACCCAGGGGTATCCAGGAGATGTGGCAGTAGAATGTCTGGATGAGTTCTCCGATTCCTACGAACGAGTATCGAAATCCTGGTTATCCAAACGACGAGAAAAGGCGCGATCGACTTGCTGCCAGGCCGTGTTTGACAAGTACACGTCGGTCCAAGTGGAAAGTGCACCTTGGTTCTTGATGAACCAAGTGGACGGAGAGAGTCGCCGTGAATATTCCAAGAGTGTCAAGAATCTCTTTTCTCAAATTGACAAACTAGAAAAGAAGATCAATGACAACATTATGAAAGAACTGGATAACATTGAAAGCGCGGAACGGTTACAAGAACTGTCAGAGGATTGTCTGGAAAAGGCACAAGTGTTCCGCAAGAAGGCCCACAAGGTCAAGATGAAGAGTCGATGGAAGAGCCGTGCCTTTGTCGCCACGGGGGTGACAGCCTGCGCTGCTGTTGGAGGAGTGGTTGGTTTTCTGGCGGGTGGACCTTCCGGAGCCTTGATTCTGACCAGCATGTCAGTGGCAGAGGCCCAGGCAATTGAAGCCTCTGTGGCGGCATTGGTGTTTGGGGCAGGATTTTATGCCGCGCAGAGCAAAGTGGAGAATTGGTCTTGGAACCAGCCAATCATAGTGCTGAAGTAAAAAGCCATGCAGCAACAGTTCGCAACAAGGGGATTGGTACTCTATGTGCACCCAAGCAAGTAACGGTACCTGTTGCTGTGGCCCCAGAGTGTTTTTCATGCTGTGTCCCAAAAAAGAGTCAAAGGCGTGAGAAACCGTCTTGTAACATGGCCAGTACCACTCATCAAACAAATAGAAGTGGAGCAGCTAGCTAGCTACCGTGCTAGCTAGTAATTGCTCTGCGCTTTAGATCCATGAAAGATTCATTTTAGCAAAACTGCAAGTTGCCGACAGACCATCTGTTAATCGCTAATGCAATTGCACGGAGGTCTAGCTACTACTGTAGACTAGTACCGGTAGCACAAGAATTCGTCCGTACCAGGCCCTGTACAAACCAATGGAAACTACAGTCATTGGTAAGCGCAACAGTTCCATACTAGCACAGAATCAAATAAATATACATGTACGTGTCAGAATCAAAGTCTGTTTTTCTATCAATTTTAAAGGAGGTTTATGTTTGATTGGAAGTTTTGTTTGTTTGTTGTTGTTGTTTCTTTTCGTAATGGTACAGCCAGCATAGCATGTTTGTCATCTATCAGGTTGGGTCTTTCGTTCGTTCTTTGCATCCATTCATCATAGCGGCGCTCTCTGTGACACCCACTTGTGTACTCGGTCCTTCATTTTTTCTTCGTTCGTTCGTTCTATCATCACCTGATCATCATCAGAGCAGCTATCAGAGCCCACTTTCAATGTCGGCAGGAACCTGAGCTTCGTCTTCTTCAGCGACCGGACCCAGACCAGTAGTCGTCGTTTCGACTGGTGTCGGCATTTGTGCCAATTCGGCCACTCGATCGGCACCCAATAGTTCCAAGGCCGCCTTTTTCATTTCGGTGGCCGTCAACATTTCATTGCGGCAATAAGGGCAATGATCCTTTGGCTTTCTTTGATGTTGTGACAGCCATACCATGGCACAATTTTTATGGTACATGTGGTTGCATTGGGTTCCCGTCATGACTTCTTCGCCGTCCTCTGCAAACAAAAAGAAGAAGAAAAAGAGAGACGCAAGTCAATATTAGAAGGGGCAAAAGAAACAAGAGAGACAAATTCAATCCTTTATTACGAAAACGCACCATATTCACGAAGACAAATCGCACAAGAGCAATTTGTATCGAGTGCTCCCGACCCAGAGGAACTTCGAGAATCGTCCAGGTTTTTCTTGGCTCGTTGATGCGTACTGCAACAGGGCGCAAAGACCTTCTCGAGCACGGCTTGACGCTCTTTGGCGGCCATGCCAAAGAGTTGCGCTTGACAGGCGACGGGTCCAAACGCCTTTTCGGCCGCCGCCATGGTCATCGGCGCATTATTATTGCTGTTGGTTTCCTCGTCGGAGCGGGACATTGTCACGGGAACGACATCGCGTCTCTGGTGGCAGCAGCGGAACTTGAGAACGCCAAGACAGTACAGCATTCCCAAGCAACAGAAACTCAACCCCAGAAAGAGAGGAATGATTCCCTGCACAAAGATGGTTTTCACGTCTCCTGAATTGGCCCAGCCCATGATGGTGTATGTCTGTTGTGTTGTTGTCGAGTGAAAGTATTCAGTGGAAAGAGTCGAGCAAAGAGGTAGGTCTTGAACCGAACCACCAACAAACTGTGGCAACCAAGCTTGAGCTTCAAATGCAATAATGCAATCGCTTGTAGTCTTGTTCCAGCTAGATTAGACTATGATAGTAGGAGGACCAATGACCTTTTTCCTCAACCGACATCAAACTAGCAAGGCTTTGATTTTGACACTTGCGAAGAGGCTCTCGCTACAATGTAGAATGCAATTACAAACACATGAAATGGTGGTGACTGCACGGTCTGTGTCTTGTGGGAAGCCCTGTGCATGATGATGCGGGTGTTTCGTGGTGGTTTGTCTGCCATGATTGGCTGAGAATTTCGAGAAGCCCGAGGAATGAGTGAGCCCTCGATCCGTGACTGACTCCCACGAGACCTTCTCGATCCCATAACGGTTCGCATCGCTAGTAATGACCGTTGATCGGATCCTTGTGAAAGATCTCATTGTTAATGGCGAGTGCACTGACACTGCGAATCTTTGTCTCCTTAGCGGGAATCTGCCAGCACTTGAACTTCCGCAAGCAGTGCGAATGCTGCTGGAGGATGAAAAGCTTTTCAGAACAGGAAAGGCATCACAAAAATGTCAATGGAACGTCATCCAAATGACGTTCTCATGGAGCATGGAGTGCGTGTTGGAAGAGCTGGAAGCCCAAGGAAGAGAAACAAGAAACGCAACAATGGTGATGATGATGTATGCCTATCGTACACCCGATGCCGGTAGTTGGATCCAGATACATACATGTACTCCGAGTACATCAGCTTGGCGGCACAGTATTCTGCCCTCCTTCCAGCTGAACTGAAGCTGCTATGGTGATATCCAATACAGATCATCAAGAAACCCCCACTTCCAGGAAGGATGATTCGGAGGCAGAGGGGAAAACTTTGCTATTAGCATCCAGTGGCGGCCAAGACAATTGTTCCTTGAAGCATTCACCGTCGTCGCAGCTAGAGGCAGCAGCAACCTCGGCTCGGAATTTGATCCGAAGGACCAGCTCTGTGGTGTGGGATGAACGACCCAAGACACCGGCAGGATGGTCGATTCTGTTGGCCGCCATGGCTTCTATGCTGGTTGGATACGAGCTGCAACTGCAACAACAATTAACCTGTCCTCCCCTAGTGTTTTTACAAGACGATGATCATGAAAACAATCCACCATCACTAATCCACCTAATCTACCGTCATTTGACACGACATTCCGATTCCATCTTGTCCCAAAACATTACACCCAGTCTCTGGGTAGGAACACGGAGTCTGCTGGCGACGAGTTTGGCGGTGGTGACGGGAATTCCCAATCACTCGGACCATCATCTTCGATTGCAAGAAATTGTCACCATGCCCATGGACGGAGCACAAATTGCCCTCTACTGGGAAGCTCCATTGGTGGAACCTCCAAACAATACTAATACTAAACAACAACAAGCTCCATCCAGAATAATAATAACCAGAGAAACTCTGCTTCAAGGACCCATTGACAAGCCCCTGGTGTTGATTCTGCATGGCTTGAATAACAATTCCAGTTGTGGCTACATTCGATCCTTGCAGAGAATCATTTCCAATCGAGGACACATTGCCGTTGCCATGAATTTTCGGGGCTGCCAATGTCCCTTGACATCCCCCCGAGGATACAATGGGGCGTATACGGGGGATTTGCGAAGTGTCGTGCACATGATCGTGGGGCGATTGCATTCGGCAAGTGTGCCATTGTTTCTGGTGGGACACTCGCTGGGAGGCAACATTATTACCAAATATTTGGGCGAAGAAGGATTGAGCGGCACATTGCATCCTTCCATTGTCGCTGGTGCCAGTCTGGCCAATCCGTTGGATATTCATTCTCGCAATAATGTGCACACGCCATGGAAACAGTTGATGGCATGGGGCGCCAAGATGGACATTCTATCCAAATGGAAAACCTTTCAACAACTTACTGGGTATCCCGAAGTGCGCAAGGCATTATGGGGCATAGTAAAGGCCACCACTATGGACCAATTTGATGAAGCTGTCTTTCCTCTACTGCTGCGGAATGACCCGTACTACCCCTTTGGAATACACATTGGGTATGAATCTGTGGAGGAGTACTGGAAAGACTGCAGTTCCTATCGCTTTGTCAAGCACATTACGGTTCCCTTGCTGCAGATTATTGCGGGGGATGACCCTGTGGTCTACCACTGCTTCCAGCGGAAACTAACGCATAGTATTCGCAATCCCAATGTGATGAGTGTCGAGACCAAATGTGGTGGACATTTGGGGTGGCAAGAGAGTCCTCCTCCACAGAGCCAGAACAACAGCGACAATGACAATGGTGACCGACCCAGTTGGGCAGGAAGAGCCACTGCCGACTTTATTGATGCCGTTTTGGAAATTAGAAAGACTCAGGCATCATCCGGTCCAGTGCAATGGTCGTCGTCTGAACACATCATCAACAAGAACAACCATGATCGCCAAGCTGAGAACAATAGTGTGGGTTCCACCAGAACGGATCATTCGGACGCTCCTCTGCTGAGATCTAGACTTTGAGCACAAAGCAATGAGTCTAGCTGAGAGGCATACCGTTCTGGTCTCACAACGACAGCTAGAGAAAGCATCTGAGAGCTACTACTAGCCTGCTAGTAGTAAAATTTAGCCAAAACTTCTGGGGTTTATTGTATGCAGTAGACTGAAGTGCTTGCTTGGCGCACTCAGATTGTGTAGCTAGACAGTGATTCATTCGTCAAGGACTGAGACTCTTGCCTCGTCTCTTTCGTGTGCAGATAGATACAACCAGACCTTGCATTGCTTCGTAAGGCTGGCTGCTAGCTAGCTGAGATGTAGAATCGAATCAGTTGTTTAGACAAAGCAGAACTCGACATCATCTGCATGAGACGCACAAAACGCCACCTTGGCATTGTCTACAGCCTTGCGTGCCTTGGCCTTGAAGGATGCCACACGGCCATTCTGCTTAATGTCTTTAAAGAACACGTGTGCCATGTCCATTTTGAGAAGCCTCCAAGCCGTGTACTCTTCAATGGTGGAAGCCGCGTGCGAGTGGACCAGAGAGACAAACGACTTGGCGGTCAACTCATGAGTCGCCGCCTCTTCCGCCGCCGCTTCTTCCCATGCCATTTCCAACAAATCCGGTGAGACATCCAAAAGTTTGCACAATGCTTCTTCCGACGCATGCTGGACTTCTTCGAGTTCCGTCATGAGCGCGTTGACCTTGTTGGCGTTGCTGGGAGCAACTGGGGTGGCAAACGTGACGTGCTTGTCGGCAACATTATAGCTCTTTCCATCAATATCCTCGATCTTGTACCTAGCTCCTCCACTGGACTTGTGTTCCGAAGACTTGATGGTGCCAATGTGAACGCGAGACTTTTCTTGAAACTCCACCAGAGTTCCCACAGACAATGCGTGCTGTTGTTTCACTTCCTCACTTCCTTTCTCGGCAGCAAGGAGTGTAGTTGAGGGAGTGACAGTCTGAAAATGAAAGTGGGCGTGGATCGTCATCAAAGAGGTGAGTGAGCAAGCCAATGCGGCCTACAATGGTAGTTTTCACCAATGACAACCACAGCTATCAAAAACTTACCACAGGGCGAACGACAAACGCCGAAACGGGGCCGCATAGCCAGAGCGACAAGAGAATAGAAAAAGCTGAAAGGCGCATGATGGTTGGAACGAATGATTCTTATCGGAAGAGGATACTAGTACTGTGGAATATGGATAGGAACTGCTGAAGTAAAAGGATCGGCAAAAAAAATGTTTCGAACGTCATGGAAGAAAGCCATCAACGACAAAAGATACGAGAAGTCGGATTTGCTGATGCCAAGCGTGTCTGAGGGCAGCTGCCTTTGCGGGAGTCAATTATGTCTGAACTTTGAGACGCACATCTGCTTTCTACCACCACACAATCTTCGCTGCCAAACCTCCTCTCATTTTTCTACGTGCTGTCATAGCCACCATGGGCTCTCCGGAGGAAGATCGAAAGCGTCGTGCTAATAATAGCAGTGACGAGGATGAAGACGACAAGGATCGCAGTAAAAAGAGAAGAAAGGACGACGACAGCAGCAGCGATGACGATAGCCGTCGAAAACGCAAACGAAAGCACAAACACAAGAAATCCAAACGGCGGCGCCGCGACGATGACAGTGACAGCAGCTCCGAAAGTGACGATTCTAGCAGCACCAGTACCGACGAAGAAAGTCGCAAGCATCGGAAACGACACAAAAAGAAGAAACACTCGAAAGAGAAAAAGAGACATCGCAAACACAAAAAAGACAAGAAGAAAGACAAGAAAAAGTCCTCCAATAGTAAGAAACCGGATAAAGACAATGATGAAGAGGATGATGGTCTCCCTGTCTTTGGCAAGTACGGCATTCTGAAAGGGTCTGATTTCTACAAGAAACAGCGTTCCTTTGAAGTTTGGATGGCCGAAGTCAAGGGAATGGCGGAATACAAGGGGCCCAAATGGGAGACGCAAAAGTATTTTGATGAGTATCGAGAAGACTACAATACGGCCACCTTTCCCCATAAAAAGTACTATGATTTTGAAAAGTGGGAAATGGAAGAATACCAAAAGCAACAAGCCAAACAACGGGAGTTAGCCGATTCGGGCAAATCCAGCCATCGAGCCGATGAAGCACGGCATCAATTGGAACAACGGAAGTTGGCACAACACAAACAAAAGGCCGATCACCATTTGCAATTGAGTATGATGAGCAAGGAAAAGATTCAAGAAATGAAACGGCAACAGCAACTCAAGACCGAACTGGAAGTTGCCTTTAAAACGGGTGATCAGGAAAAGGTCAAGAAACTCAAGGCCAAATTGGAACCAGATGACAAATAAATGAATAGACCGTAATAACGACAAGCACGTCACACGCAATGTTGAACCATGAACGGATACTGTCGTGTTTTGAATGGCATAGAAGTAATGCAGGTGTTCTTCTTGCTTACTATGTAGTTAGTTGAAAGGTCTTTAGCTCGCACATACTGGTGACTGGTGTCCAGCCGTTGTGCTTGTTGTAGCCTCTTTGGTCTCATGTGTCACAATGCTACCCATGACAATGAATTAAATTTAAAAGGAAACCTCCAAATCCACTTCTTCCCAAGGTTTCTTTCCGTGTCCCTTGTGGAACTTGCCTCCGCAATCGGCAAATTTCTCAATTCCCTTGTCCGTCTTCTTAAAGGTCACCTTGCATCCAAATCCAGCCATCATATAGCCTCCAAACTCGACCGTCTTTTCCGTGCCAACTTCCAGACTGTCCACAAATGCTGGGTCATCGTAGGCTTCCATCATGGATCGAGAGGCATCATCGGGCGCAAAGAGTACCTTGTCGTCCATCAAGGCATCCTGGACTTGACCCTTGATGTGACGTTCCAAATCGTCGGCCATCTCGTCCGCCTTGCACGTTTTGTGGAATCCGGCCTTGACATGTCCTTCACAGTTGATGCAGCCACCCATCTCGGCGACAAAGCCACCTTTGCAGTGAATGCCCTTTTCCAGGCAAAACCCACCTTTGCCACCACCATGACCGTGGTCGCCGTCGTCTTCCAGGGCAGTGGAAGATGAGACCAAGCCCAGTTTGCCGGCATTCACCAACGATGACAACCACACAGCAGCCAATAAGGAGCGAAACAACAACATTATTATGGCAGAGTTGGTGACTACGGAGACTACCAGGTACAATAAGGAGCTTAGCAACAACAACAACCTGTTTCAGAACTCTTTGGTTGGGTTTTGTGACTTCTTCGCCGTTTTCTCATCATTCTTCTTCTCGTTCTGACGAAGGTTGTCAGAAAGATTTGCTTTCGCCGTGGGAATCAATTTCGCAAGATCCAAAGATATTTTCGATTCAATTCGATTGATGAGATTCATTCGACTCACTCGAATATTCTTCTCCCAGAACCATTCATCATCAACATGCAAACCCATCAGCCACATCATGATAGGCTAACGAAGCTGTCCTCTTGATATTTGCCTCCACTGATTGCTATCTAGCAAGTTGTATATAAGAATGACATCCTCAATTTCCAAATCCAATAATACTGTCCGTCGCAGTGATGGGCGGCTGTTGCTGAATGCAGATGGTAGTGCTTGTACCACACTACGTCCATTATCCTGTGAATTGTCATGCTTGCAGAGAGCCGATGGGTCCTCTTTGTGGAAGTCTGGATCGACACAAGTCATGGCGGCCGTATATGGTCCTATTGCACCCCGAATTCCATCGCAAGAAAAGGGCGACGAAGCTCAAGTGTCGGTGGTCATCAAGTCAGGACGACACAATAATGCCAACAACAACAGCAAGAGCAACAATAGTATGCTGGAACGAGAATGGGAACAATTACTGACTTCCATTTTAACCGCCTGCATTGATACTCATGCGTACGCCCGGACTGTAGTGGAAGTGGTATTGCAAGTCGTTCAAGATGATGGTTCCGTCTTGGCGGCGGCACTACATTCTTCAGTGGCTGCCTTGATGGACGCAGGAGTATCCCTGACCAATCTACCGGTAGCCACCACATTTTTACTCTCCATCCACAAGGAAAAGCCACTCCTTATTTTGTTGGATCCATCCTCCAACGAAGAGACAAATCCTGAAAATTGTGTACTGGTAATGGTGACCGAAAACAACGACCCCAAACGCATTCTGGCCACTCATTCCATGACGGCAACATCTTCCAAAAAGACAAAGACAGTGGCCACCCTGTCAGCTACCACTGTTCTATCTTGCGCCCAAGCGGCAGCCAAGGCTACACCTGCTGTGGTCACATTCTGGAGACTTGCCATGGAACAACGGGTCACACGAGAGTCTCAAACCTTGTGGTCGTCTTAGCTACAGCTGCAAACTGAATGATAACTGTTAAAACACTATTGCAACCAACATCTAAGTTGTATGCATAGCCACCGGTAGTTATGAGCACCGCCTTTGGTCCTAGCTCACGGGGTGGCAGGGAATGATTTCATCGAATCGAACCTGCGAAGAACTTACAAGATGTCCATGTGGTCCATGCTCTCTCCCTCTCGAACCAGATCTCGAACAACGGAATCGGCCACAGCTATGGTTATGGCATTGGCATCTCCTTCCAGATCATTGGCCCTCTTTTGGACCCAGGAATGGAACTTTGCATACACCATCATGGGCATGTCCTCCGGAAACAGGCTCTCCTGCATGGCGACCGGTGCCATGGCTAATTGCATCTCCAGCTGCTTCTCCATATTTCCAACATATCGTTCTTCTTTTGGCTTCTCAGTAGTGACACGCTCCACCAAATGCTCCAGAATTCTCTCCAGTTGATCGGTCCCAAAGCGATCCTCCAACGGCGTGACCCAGCACTTTTGATAAAACTCCATTTGTTCCTCCAGAGGTCGGTTCATGACACTGGATACCACCAAGTTTCGGGTCAAGTCAATGGGCTTGAAGTCGACACCAGGATGTGGATTAAACAAGAGACGGCCCATGCCAAAAACAGTCTTTTCCTGCATCCAGAGAAAGACCTGCTGGATGTTGTCATTGGTCAGCAACTCAATGTACATGAGACTGAACCCATCCGTCTGCTTGCGAAAGAGGCTTTGAAGCTTGTTCTTGGCACCGTTGCCTACGAGGCGAGAGATCTCTTGCGAGAAGATCCGGAATGTCTTGTGCTGGACTGAGCTCTGGCATTCGGAGGAAAACCCAAGATAGGAGGATGCATGCTGCTTTTCCAGCGCTTCCAGGACGTGGTCCTGACAGATGATTTCAAAGTAGGAAGCGCGGTCCACGAACGAGGGCACCAGGGTTGTCTCAAACTCCTCTGGCAGCCACCCAGACGGAAACGGTCTCATTTTCCATTGGTATTGGTCGGCTTGGGATTGCGCTTCTTGGACCAGATGTTTGGCCTCTTCTTCTGCCCAACGTTTTACAGGGGCCAAAGCTTTGTTGAAGAGAAGAGCATCAATGCTCCTCACAGTCGCCGTGAGTCCAGTCCTGCGACAATGCTTTCGTAGAGCCGCGAGAAGCAAGGTGGCAGTGGTGAGACGCTGCTGTCCGTCCACGCAAATTAGCGTACCATTGGTATCACGTTTGAACATAGTCTTATGCGTACGGTGCACTCCGCCAGGCATAGCCACATCTCGAAACCACTGCCGGATTTGCTTTTCGGTCCAAATGTACCGTCTTTGGAAGAGGGGTATCACAATACGATTCTTGGACAAGATATCATTGAATAACATTGGCCTCACATCCAAATGCTGGATTCCTCTGCCTGTCTGACCGGGCCATTTGTATTGAAGATGATTCAGGGCTGCTGGGTTGGACGGCTGATGGTTTTCATTGGGCTCAGAAGCCCTGGGTGGGGGCGATGATAGCTTGGCAAGATGGGCTTGGTAAGCCGTAACCGAGTTCTCGCGAGGATCCTCATTGTCCTCCTCTGATCCTTTCAGAGGCGCCGCAAAAGCGACGGCTCTTCGAATCTCGGCCATTGCGAATGTTGATTTTGTTGGCGTTTTGTTTGAGTTTGCGTTTTAGGTTTGCCGCAGCCAATTTTATGAGCCAAGGCAAGAGAGAGGTTCTCCCATCTCCTTTAAAGCCAGCGGATTGGTGCTTGCAGGTTGAACCTTTCTTGAGGGTTCCTATCGAGTCTCGCACGGTGTCTCTCCAGTCACGACTCAGAAAGATCTCTGAGGACATACGGACGGACGGTGCCTGTACACGCATGTACATGTCCGCTTTTCAATGCGTGATGTAAGACAGCGTCAACTGGCTTATATCTTCTTTGAGACGTGCGTGGCGGCCGTGGAAATTGCACCTGACATTGTTTTCCACGCTGACGTACCCCTCCTTTCGAACCGCCACCTGGAAGAGCCATGAGCAATGAGGCTCAAGGACGAAGGACAACAAGCAAGAGGAATATCGCAATGCAATGGACAATTTACATGTGTTGATGTCCCTTGTAGTATTGCATCTACCAGCAACTTACCTCCTGAGACTGGCTTTTAGCTACTGGTAGCAACCATACCGTAGCCGACCGAATCTAGCTTGATATCCAGCCGGATATCCACCAAGAGCTGTTGCTCGAACACTGTGCCTCCTGACACCATGAGGACCGAACGACAACGACGACGGCTTTCCTGTTGGTCCCTTTCTGTTACGGCGCTACTCTTCAGCGGGACATGGGCCAACCCATCAAGTGGTGGCGGTGGTAATAGCGCCGGCAGCCAATGGGGATCGCCACCACCTCAGCCCCCTGATTATGATCAGCAGCAATCACCCTACGATATGAATAATGAACCACAACCAACCACTGAGCAAGGCTATCAAGATCAGCAGGAACAAGATCCTCCTTATTACATTGATAATCATCCAGAATGGGAACAAGCAGGCTCCTATGAAGACAGTCAGCAATATGGAGCAACACAAGCAGAACAAGGCTATTACTATAATGAAAAAGACGACTACCAGACAGGAAACAACGACAATGCACCAGATCAGTATTATGACAACAGCAACAACAATTGGAATTATAATATTGAGAATCAGCCTCCTCCTCCACCACCGTCACAACAGCAGCAGCCAGACAGCAACAACAAACCACCAACAAAATATGAGCCCATTCACTACAATTTTCCCAAGGAAAAGACAAAAGAAAAGAGGGGTTGGTTTGGACGTAAAAAACCACAAAGCGATGATGTTAGAAACGACGTTGGCAGCAAAGATGCTGCAACATCCAGATTAGATGACGATGTTCCGGACACTCTCTCAGCTTCCCCTGTTGATGGTGCCGAAGACCAATCTCCAGGCAGAGGACGCGGTGATCGTCGAGAGGATGACTTGCCAGAATTTGCTTCTGCCAGGCGGGATGTTATCACGCGTTATCAATCAACATTTCGAGGCAAAATGGCCTTGGCAGCTAGCTCTGGTGTGGCAGGATCAATAGCAGGGGGTTTTGCCGGAAAGGTATGTTCCTTTACTTGAGGCGTTTGATGCTATATTTACATTAGTTGCAAAGTGTATACCAGTGGCTCAAGATCTCAGGATTTTCCCATCCAAACAGTCTCTTCTGAATAGTCCAATCACGTTTGCCGGTGTGGGTGGTACGTTTTTCCTCCTTTGCACACTCCTCCGTAATCCATATGGTGAATTGGTCCGTGCCATGGGGATGGCATTGATCTTGGCACTGCAAAGATTCACATCCATTCGAGGACGATATCCAACCTGGAGGCATGTCAAATCCAGTCTGGGAGCCGCACAACGACGGCCGTTTCCTCCTGCAGCCAATCCATGGACATATCAACCACGCAGCAACCGAGATGTACCCTTCAAAATGCTCTACACTCTCATTACCATGGCCTTTGTGGGATCCACAGTAGGAGGGTCCATGCCCTTGATACCCACCTGGATGGGGTCTCTGGCTGGGGCTGGCCTCTTTGGGCTTGCAACAACTCTGCAGAGTTCCAGAGTAAGTATTGCCAAATTTGCCACTTTGACTATCGTATCATTGCTGCATTTTCTCATATCATGATGAATGTCTATGCTGCACGAAAAGGGCGACTTGATTAGATCCATGGGAATGCGTGTTGTGGCCTTGTGTGAAGAGTTTTTGGGCATCAACGCGGAACTGGAAATCCTGCGAAAGGGTGGAGTTGTAACTGGGAAGGTTCTAGACAAACTATTGATTCTGGACCGACAACATCGCATCAAGGACCGCTTGATTTCAGGCGCAACCTTTCTGTTTGGTCAAATATCCAACCAAGTTAATCGAGTGCAATCTGATATGCAGCAACCTCCTCGCGATGATCGCCGCCGAGATGACAGGAGCGATGACAGAGGACGTCCAAACAACAATAATATGGATAGGGATCGCAGACGAGACGATAGGCCGTTTGACAATGATCCAAGAAGACGTGATGACAGAGATAGAGATGATCCTCGTAGAAGGGATGGTGAAAGAGGACGAGACCGTCCATATGACAATAGACGCGATGACAGAGGCAGAGATGATCCACGCAGAAGGGATGATGAAAGAGGACGAGATCGTCCATACGACAATATACGCGATGGCAGAGATAGAGATGATGCTCGTAGAAGGGATGATGAAAGAGGAAGAGATCGTCCATACGACAATACACCAAGACGAGACCCCTAGCGGAAATGAAGCTGAAAACTCTGGTCTGCAAGTGATACACCGAACTGAAGAGATATTAACCAAATGCAGCGACTTGTACAGTTGTGTCAACCATCCACAGACTCTTCGTATGATTATTTCTGTATCCACCAATAGTTGGTTTGCTTTTCAATCGATTGGTTGAATCACCTGCAAGCAACAGAGTAGATTTCTTCACCCCCGTGGAGGCGCAGAGCCTGCCTTTGTCCTACCCTACACTACCGTACACATGCTCCAAGAGGACACCCCTTTCAATCAAACACACAACGTCCGATTGTGTATGTTTTCCGTCGAGGGCATACGTTTCGGTTCAAGACGTGCTTCCAACCGAGTTTTGCTGTGATTGCCGTTCTTGTTCAAGGTCACAAAACAAAGCAAGCAAGCACAATCACAGGAAAGACAGGAAAACCCAACCATGACCTCCATCGCAACCAGTATCAACACGAACGCCTCTCATTTGGTGGGGTGGCACGGCGTGGCTCTTTTCGGAAAGAAGAATCCCAAATGGTACCCTTGCGTGGTGAAGAAGGACAACCAAGACGGAACCGTCAAGGTCCAATGGGACGATGGTGGCAAGTTTACCAAGCAGCTTCCAGTAGAGAAGTTCCGTCCAGATATCCAAGAAGTTGACGAACCCACCGATGTGGCGTTTGACGTCTTGTTCAAGAAGGAAGAAGATGGAGATTATTGAGTACGGACGTGACGAATGCTCGCGCTTTTCGAAAGCTTCCTTCCTCGATGGGGCTGGGGTGGCAACCTACGAAGCATTGGGATCTTTGGGCGGTGGCTGGCCCATCACAATAGTGACAATGAAATAACTTTTATAGTTGTCAGTTTGCTTCCACATCCCCTCCCCACTAGTTCGTCCTTGCGTGTTGTTTTGCTGCGATAGCCTCCCGAAGACCAGGACCTTCCATGGGTGTCCCTTCTTCGTCGGACATCGCTCCGTGGTGCCTGCTGACAGGCAGGAGTCTCGGGGGTTTGGAGACCGACGTATGTCTGGTCTCAGACGTGCGTTCAGATTGCCTCGATTGCTTGTTTTTCTGCCCAAATTCACCGGCCAACCAACAACAAGACCAAGACGAAGCCTATTCCAGGTCACCATGATATCCATAATCGAACAAGAAGAGGACAGGGTAGTCCGCAGCAGCATGCCAAGCAACAGCGTCCAAAGGTTCATCGTGGTGTTGGGGGCACCCACCACGGAAGACGGGAAGCCCGGACCCGATATGAAGCAAAGACTCGACCGTTGCCTGGAATTGTTGGCACAAGAAAAGGAAGACGACTGTTTGGTTGTTGTGACCGGGGGCAGCCCCCGCACATACGGGAGCTCGGGGGTCTGTAAGGAAGGAGACTGCATGCATCAGTATCTGACAGAAAAAGGGGTTAAAAGTAGCCGAATTCTCGTCGAGAACCACGCACAACATACATTCCACAATGCCATTTTCAGCAAGAGCCTGCTTCGAACTCGTGGCTACATTCCGTCGTCCCGAGCGACGGAGTTGTCCATCCTGACATCCGACTGGCATATGACTCGTTCGATGTGGTGTTTTCAGGCTGTCTTTTGCGATCATCTCAACATAACACTGGTTCCTGTGACAGCTAAATCAGACCCCACGCTCCCGGGAGCAAAGGAGCGGATTGCCTATGAACGCGAAATGACAAGAAACAAAGACTGGGTTCTGAGGTGCATTCAGCTGCATCGGGGCCATCCCGAAGTGCCTGAACCGCTGAAAGGGCCTTGGTCGGAGATGTTGTTGGATAAACTCTGGGAATCCGGCCGGGCAAGGCTGGTGAAAGAAAACGAGATGCGACCAGAACACAAACCTAGGTCTGGTAGTTAGCCGAATTAGGCTTCAATTGCTAGCTAACTGGCCCAAAAGCTGTAGCTGGCCAGGCTTCTCCAACTTCGTATGACATTGTTATCCGCTCGGATAATTGCACCCGCTGCTTGTTTGCGCACCGTACCACACTGCGTGACAGGAAAGGAGCAGCTCTCATCGGTACCATTGTATGAGGAATGAGCACCCAACCCCCCAACGTCCCTAACTCGTCAGTTGAGACCAGAGCAGACGGAAACAGTCCATCTCCCTCGAAGCTAGATTAGCTAGAAGCTAGCTAGTAGGATTATTGGGATGTGTGTTCGAACCAACATCTGCCTTTGAAGAAGCCGTGCTTTTCGGGCATTTTGTGGGTGGATACAGTTACGTGTCTCCCAGAACATCTATTTACTACTTTCTGTATCAATGCAATCATCATCATGGACTTGGTCACATTGCCCTTCAAGATGGCTTTATGCCCGGTTCTTTGGTTCGTGGGCTCGGATGCATTGGTGCTAGCTGTTCGACCCACGCCCAATGCAATCTGAATTGGTGCTACGAAGGCCAATGCTTTGCTCCCAAGCTGAAAGGAGAAGCCTGTAACAGTGATGTCGAGTGTGCGGACCTGGAATGCTCTACCCGAGGGAGGGGCTATGACTTTGGGTTGGATTCGGCCAATGCCACTGCAGTCGACGGCCGCTTTTTCAGCAGCAGCAGCAGTAACGAAGAGACCTTTTCGGGAACATGCAGGTTGGGGCCGCGAGGTTTGGGGGAGTACTGTGTGGGTCACTACGAGTGCAGGTCAGGAAACTGCCGGCGTCATGATGCCACCTGGTTGATTCCCTTTGTCGTTGGCTGCAAAGACGTTTGCGTTCCTTTGGCGGGGACTGGCAAAAACGGCGATTATTGCACAGAGCCTAATCAATGTCAGAGTGGCATATGCGCTGCCTCCAATAGCTTCGGAAAGGAATGTAAGCAAACCGAGGTTGGTCTTGTTGGCTGGGCATTCGACTTGCTCCCATGGAACTGAATGGCAACCATCCCAACTTGTGACGAGTACAGTATACTGGTACAATTTGAACTCGCCATATCAATTGCCTGCCAGTGTGTATAACTATGAAAGCTTATAGTTCTGTTACTTCTAAGCCAGCATGTTGGCGCTTTCGGTGTCATACGGTACCCAACCCGTACAAAGCTCTCTGGTTCGGGGAATGTCCAAGTGCCGCAGTCAATCAACGACATCAACCGCACAATGATGGATTCTCCTGCAGATGGAGAAAGATGCAATCCAAGCTGTCATTGACTTTGCTTAGCACCTGGACTCCCTTGGCCTGATCGAAAGCGTGCGCTTTCAAGTACTTTCGCCCAACCGCATTCAGACGGGCAATGCTTTCGATTGTGGGCTTGAAGAATGCTACGCGATCCAATGCCACACCCAGATCCTCGATACCCATGTTCGTCTTGAGGGCGGCACTAAGTCGCCTGCATCCTTCTTCACTGATACCCTTGCTGTGCTGGGTTGGGCAGGTGTCAATGCATAATGCTTGCAAGGTTGTGTTCCCACCGAGTTCCTCGATGGACTGTGCAATTACACAGTCGTCTTCGTGGTTGTGATTGTGCTCGTTGCAACAGCTTTCCTTATCGCAAGTCCAGACTTCGAGTGTTTGAAGTGTAGAGTTGCCTGACAGGGCTCTAGCCGTCTGCACGGCCCCTGCCTGTCCCACATCAGACAAAAGTCGCAAGCTCTTGAGGGAACGATTGACTCGCAGAGCGGGGGCGATACGAAGCCAAGACTTTGAGCGTTCATCGACATCGTCATAGTATGAAGAATGGAGAAGCAAAGATTGGATTCCGGTTGTGGGCGACTCCAATAGAGCTCGGAACTCGTCCCCGGTTTCATCGTCCCAATCGCACAATTGTCCAACACTAAGTGTCTCGAGAGTCAAGTTGGATTTCAGAGCTGCAAAGATTGGCTTCAGCCATGCCGTATCGAATCCTCCGTTGTCATCGTCTTCCGGAGTGCCGTCATCGTCAATTACTTCTGGTGCCAAATCAAAGTCCTCAGTTTCAATATGCAGACTTGTAATCGTCGTATTCACGAGCAGAGATTCTGCCAATCTTGCACAGGTTTCTTCATCCAATCCGTCATCGCTTAGAACCAGCTTTCGTACGTGTTGGTTGCGCCCCAACGCTGCGGCGATCAGCCCCCCTGCTTCGAATCGCGAGTACTGAAAGTCCAGTGTTTCGATGGCACATTCATCTTCCGCGTTGGAAAGATAGGATGCCAACATCTGACATTGCTCGACCGAGAAGGCACAACGTTGCAAGGCCATTTCTCGCACACCTCTGCCCAAGAGAGCAAAGAAGGTGTGTGGGAGTACACGACTTGGATGGTCAAGGCAATTCAACAGGCGAATGCAGTTCAAGTTGGGAACCGTAGTGAGCACTTCGCAAAGGGTTTCCATGGGCCCTGGGTCGACAGCGGAGCAAACTTCAATCTCCTTCAAGTCTGGGTGTCCCTCCAATGCATCCAAAATGGTCCAATTATATCCATCCAAGAGATCCATGGAGAAGACTACCTTTTCAACCTGTTTGGCACCCTCAAAAATTTCTCGCAAGGCCTTCACATCGGGTCTATGACCTTCCACTTTCAAAGTTTGCAAACCTTGCAGGTTGCCAATGGCTTGTCCAATGATTCGCCAGCGTCGATCGAGCTCTTCATCAGGGTCCCCGGGACCAAGGAGATGAAAGACACACTGGACATCCAGACGCTTGACGCTTGTATTGCCTTGAGTCGCGGCGGCAAACGCTTCCGCCTCCCGCGGATCTTGTATCATGGCTGCCACGAAAGGCTGTAGGTTAACATCGACCAGTTCGTTTTGACGTAGCCCATTGCAGAATTCTCGGAAATCCACCAACTCACGTTCGCGTAGAGCGTCATAAATGCTTTGGTAAACGAGAGCTGGGTCTTCCACCTCAACGAGGACCACATAGCGAGCCACGTTTACCAAATCCAAAATGTCTTCATCGTCATCGTCATCACCATCCGAGTCATCGTCATCGTCATGCCATGCCGGACGATCTAACAACGGAGGAACGTCATCTTCATCATCATCGTCTGAGTCATCGTCATGCCATGCCGAACGATCAACTAGTAGCAACGGAGGAACGTCGTCGTTGTCATCGTGGTCATGAATGGCCCCGCCATTTCCCACCCACTCATTGTTGCTTTCCAGAGCAGGTATAGAAGAAAATGATTTGGATGAATTGTCATCATCATTGTTGTTGTCATTTGGATCATCCGACTCAGCATCACTCCAGTCATGCAAGCCATGCGAAAGTGGACGATCGATCAGACGAGGGATAGAATTATTTGATGTGGAATGGTCATCATGGTTGTCCCCATCTTGATTGGCAGCAATGCCCATACTATCAGGTGCATTGATGATGTGTTGCATAATATCACGACGGTCCATTGTGAAGAGTGGTTGGCTGGTGGATTTGAATAATTGATGAAGAATGCAATGAACCTGATTTTATGAACGGAACAAAGGTCGGAGCTAGCTAGCTGCCCACAGTTTGTTTTCGAAAGATTAGTATCCAATGCAACGCTCCTCTTTGCTCCGTTTTGAAGGGTACTTCTTGATGGATTTCATGGGTAGGTTTTGCCTTGCATCGTGGAAGGTGAAAGACAGGAACGAGCGATGAGAAATGATGGATCCCACGAGCCAGCCACCCCATCCTTCGTCTTTCAGGTGTTCCCAGCTTAGTCCGCTTGTTATCATAGCATATCCTCCTTCAATAAAGCCAAAAGCCAAACTCCAAACTTCATTCCTTCCCTTGACCATGACACCATTACCAGAATGTCAACCTCCCTATTAGGTCCCCCCTCTGCTGCTGCCAGTCATCATCAGCAGCGACAGTATTCCCAACGGGATGATGGCGACCGTGTCGTCTTGCTGCTGGATCTGGACTGCTTTTATGCCCAGTGCGAACGGATTCGTCTGGGATTTTCCGACCCCGAGACTTGCTGCATTGCTCTGTTGCAATGGAACTCTTGCTTGGCCGTGTCGTATCCAGCACGTGCGTATGGCATCAAACGAGGCGATGGATTTGAACAAGTCGCCCAAAAGAGTCAAGGAAAATGCATGGCGGTTCATGTGCCTATACTGGAGACTTCATCAGACAATGTCGATTTTGACGGCGATTTCGCCTCCGAGTACTGTCAGTCCCAGGAGGAACAACTCCGGTTGCGACGACAAGATATTGGACGACGGAGATACGCCACCGAAGGAAAGGCGTGTCTGGAACGGTATCGAGTGGCATCCAGACGCATTTTTGATGTTGTCAAGGAATGTCTTGGACTTGCTGGTAACAGTAGTAGCAAGAGTGGAATCATTTTGGAAAAGGCTTCCATTGACGAGTTCTTTCTCGATGTGACAACCATTTGTCGTACTCCAGATCATCCATTGTGGGAAACCATACTAAAGCAACAGCAAATAAAATCTACAGACAATGACAAACAAAGTCAACAAAATCACAAGACAGTACTAGTGGGGGACAACAACACGAATACTCAAACAACCAATGACATGCAGCAGGAAGATCCTCCAAATGGGAAAACCAACAATTATTCACAACTAGCACACAATTACCCAGAATTGGACCGGGGTTGTCAATTGGCGCAATTCATTCGGCAATCGGTCTATCGCGAGCTGGGATTCACACTGTCGGCGGGAATCAGTGTCAATAAAATGGTGGCCAAATTGGCGGCGTCCTATGGCAAACCCAATGGACAAGCCGTCGTTGTCCCCGACCAGATTCTCACCATGATGGCATCCACCAAGCTCTCCAAAGTACGCAATTTTGGTGGCAAACTGGGAAGAGAACTCTTGCAAGTGCTGCCCCCTGGCGTCCCGGAAACCATGGGATCGGTTGCCAAGTACTTGTCCCTGCCACAATTGCAGCAACAGTTTAGTGCCGAATCGGCCCACTTCATCTTTCGAGCTTGTCGAGGACAAGACAATGAACAAGTTCAAACCGAGTCTGTTGTCAAATCCATCACGGCATTCAAGAGTCTCCCACGATCCGTGACCGATACTGCCGATGTACAAGACAACGTTCTGCTGGGATGGATTGAATTGTTGGTCAAAGAAGTCGTGTCGCGCGTCGAAACCGATGCCAAAACCAATCAACGCTATCCACGAAATTGTACCATTCACTATGGGTGTGCGGGAAATTTGAACGCAGCAGGAAGGCTCGATATGAAATCCTTTCGCGTCCCATTTCCATCGCAAAAGTGGCCCGCGGCACAAAAAATAGCGCATTTGATGGACGTGATACCCCACAAGATTGTCGAACGAGAAGTGGGGACGAAAGCTAGCGGGGCTAGTAGTAGTAGTAGTAGTACACGGAAACGAGTACAGTTGGTGAGAATTGGGGTTTGCGCCACGGAGATGAATGAACAAGTCAACAAGCAGGGGAGCATTGCGAATTACTTTTCATCATGCACCACTCCTGCCACTACTACGAATGGATCCAGAAAGGCATCTGTACCGGTAAACAAGGATACAATGACAGCAGCAACAGCCACAAAGGAGCCCGAACGCAGTGCGAGTCAGTCGGAACAGAATAGTATTTTGGAGAGCAAAAAGCGTTCCAACCCGTATGCAAAACCTGTCAATCCGTACAAAAAGGCGTCGAAGAAAGTGCCGAAAGCGGGAACTCTGGCAACAAAATCGTTCCTTTCGCAGTCTGCCACAGTTTCGCCCAAAACTCCTGCCGCAAGCTGGGAAGATGCATCCGTCGGGCCAAGATCGGGGAACCGCCAAAAGGATAACTTCCTCTCGAGAGAAGTCCAAAAGACGGATCATGAGAGTGAAATTCAGACACTCAATATTCCCGACGGAGAATGGAAATCCATGGCTGTGACCCCATCCACTACCACCTCCCAGACAGCATTGCAAACCACTGATGGCGAGGGCGCTTCCATTGTTGCGGCAACCACATCACAATCAGCCAGTGCGGAGGTTCCGTCCAACTCCACCGTTGCTCCTGCAAGTTCCGAAACAGGTGCTCCGCAGGAAGACCCTGACCTTGAACTTGCGAAGCGACTGCAGGCGTCATTTGATAAAGAAGAGCGTACTCTTCGTTTGTGGGATGCCACGAAAAAGAAAGGGTCCGGTCGGTCGTCGGGCAGCAGCATTGGTAGTGGCCGAGCCACCAAAAAGGCAAAGGCAAAAAGGATCAGCTCATTCTTTCGCGCGTCGTCGCCCAAGTAGATTGTCAGCTGCGGTTATGAGCAAGTTGGGGGTTAACTTGCCTCGCTACAATCTGTAACATGAATAGAGTAGCCGACGACTAGCTAGCTAGACGATAAATAACGATTGTATCCAGCTCGGATACCGTAGTTTTAGTTTGATCCATCAGCCGGCGTGATGCCCTCAAGTCTAGGTTGGCGATAGGATGAGTGGGTGCACCAAGAAATCAATACTGTGCACACCCAGAGAACCCACAGGCGCCTTTCTCTCGAGCGAAAGAGGAGTCGAGTCCTCAGTCCTGCCTTCAAAGTATTACGGTAGGAAACATCAGGTTGCAGTCAGCCAGTCACCACCCAATCCAGCTTCGGCGGCAGTCACCACTCGAACTCGTACGGTATTCTGAGAAGGCCAGCTACCAGGAACCAAAACAATGGTACGTCTTGTATCCAAATAAGAGTTCCAACTGCGCGGCTTGTCTACTATGAGGAGGGGGAAATGGCCCAGGTATCCTCCATTTCCCCCATTGAAGCCAGCAGCAACGGTGCACCTCCCGGAAAAGGACAAAATGCAATGCAGTAAGTAGAATTAATGAACAACTATTGCTTACAGTCATGGGCGCAAATGAGAAAGTGGCATGAAAGCCCGCAAACCTGAGGTCAGACATTTCCCATGGAGAGGTGAAAACTTCCGGGCTTATGGATTGAACGGGTTCAATATCTCACCGGCGGAACTGGTAGCATAATGCTCGCTATGGTGTTCTGCTCTTCGGCTAAAGACGCTGTCGTCATCATCGGCATCATCAGCCTGACCAGCATGGTCATCCCTCGATGAAGCGGGGAAACCGTCGGACTCCTGTGGGCTCTCCCCATCACGTGGGTTGGGCACAGGTTGATTGTCACTGTTCTGCTGTTGCGACACAGTGCCATTAGGATGTGGGCTCCTTCCTCGATGCCGTCTGTGTCCTTTCCCGCATGTCAACTCTCTAACCCGCTCTTTCGGCAACACTTGAAGGGCTGCTCGAAGCATATCCTGTGGTGTCATCATTTCCACGCGGCAGTATGGACAATGGTCGTGACATTGCTCCATCCAGGGCATGATACAATCGCAGTGAAAGATATGGGGGCAGCCAATACTGTGCAGTATTTTGTCGCCTTGTTCATATTCTCCCAAGCATATGGCACATGTTTTCGTCACGCGTTGTTCATTCAAAACAAGCGATTCCCAGCCAACTTCATCAGCGTCTTGGTTGAGATCATCAGCTTCTGCCTCTTCACTTTCCAACTCGGAAACGGTATCATCAGATTCTCCATTGAAGTTCAGATTGTGTCCCTTGCTTTTGATTTGAGCTGGAATCTCCGTGCTGCATTCATCGTCACTCTTGACGCTCACGTCACTGCAAGCTGGGTGGGTTGGCTCTTCTGGAATTCCTTCTACATCCACCACTGAATTTGTTGGTTGCTGGCATGTGCCATTAGATTCTACTGACGATGATTCGACGCATGTTGTGGCTGCCGAGCTTGCATCCTGCTTCATATTGAGAGTGGTGGCGGCCTTCAACCTCGGCTGTGCAGGGTACTTTGTGCAGTACCTGGCAAACGTCCTTTCCAAAACAGTTCTTCTCTCAGATGAGCTGAGTCCCCAAAGCCTTGCCTTGAAGGCTACGGGACCATACAGTTCTGCCGAAGGACGGTCATTTCTGGTTCCAGAGCCTTCATTACCTTCTTCTTCTTCTGGAAACATATCATCTGACCACTCGGCCCATCTCAGGCCACACCGGCAGTATCGATCACAGAGAATGACTAATGCGTAAACAACAGCAATGAGACCCACTATGATGGCCAAACCTGACAAGAAAATGTAGACAACGTCCAGCACCAGACTGATACTTTCGTCGGTGACTGCAGCTGCAGTGATATGGTCTGAGTTAAAGGTGGGACTGCTGGTTGGGTTGGTACCATTCGCTAAGAAATAGATGTTACCAGAACTCAAATGATCTGTTTCTGTCACATCTTGGTCGCGTCGGCGGCGACTTTGTTTTGCCAAAGTGGAAGACCGCTTGCGGCGCATAGTCTTTTTTCGCCTGGATGGAGTTTTTCGTGGATACAGAGAAGGACCATCATCGGCATCTGATGCGGTGGAAGATATCAGTTCAAGCTTAGATCTTCTTGTTGAATATTCTGACTTCTTTGCGATAGCATGCGACTCGTCATCTCCTCGGCTGTCACTTCTCACAAGATCTTCCTCATTGGCAGTTTCAGCCAACCACCCTGCTAGATCTGTCGGGCTTGTCATCATTGCTTTCAAGACAGGGTTAAGTAACTTCAAGGATCTTGCAATTGTTGTGGTCTGTGCTGTTGCAGAGGGGAATAATGAGGGCGATGTCGTACACAAAAGTGTCTGCCATCAACAAAGGTCTCCCCACAACGGGAGCTGAACAGGAACGTTTGCACAAATTGGTTTGACTTGCCAATTTCGGCCAAGAGCAGCCCGTCGAAAAGATGATGCTCCCTGTCGACCCAAAGAACTGGGACTGGCACGCTCTGGCTGCGTTTCGCCCGCGTCCCCCGTTCCCAGACGTCATCCTCAGGACTCGACTCGGGGCACCACTATCGCAGTCCCGAAAATCAAAGAAAAATCGGATTTCTGATAGATTGCTTTGGATCGGACATTCACTTTGTCTGGCAATCGAAAAATGCTATAGGATGTACATCACTAGCTAGTAGTAAAACCGTAGGGGTCACTGTTGGTGCGTAGAACGATCTACCGGTACCGGTACATACCGGTAGCTTGGTGGGCGGAGAAATGATGGAATCATTCCAGGTTGTTCTTTTTTCTCGTCATCTTCACACCTCCCAGTAGGACAACCACCAAAGGCCTGTGGATTGTTGCTTTTAATAAAGGGAGTCAAAAAAGTACCGGGTAGTGTTCTACTAGTAGCTAGTTGGTGAATTGGACATGGCACAGTGCTTCCCTTGTTACCTTCCTCGTCCGCGCTACCCATGCATGGGTTGATACGTTTCATTCTCTTCCAGCAGCATTGATCACAGAAACATCCAAAACAGTAAAAGACTCATCATGACATGAATCCCAACCACAATGCGAAAATTGGCTTGATAACTTGACTTTCGTGACTTGTGGCGAAAGCATCGTTGCGCGAACAACGCTCCCGGCCAACCCCCCATGAGCTCCAAGCCGTGCAACGTAGCCTCCGGTACGCGATTTCTTCCGCTTCCATACTTTGCCTGAACCTTGTCCCAGCCGTAGGCAACAAAACACAAACTGCTTGCGGCAATTGTCAAATACAAGTAGGTTTGAATCACCAATGACGACCACCAACTCATTGTTGACAAAAAATGAATAATTGCAACTCAGCAGCAGCTGCCGGACCAGAAAGGACGCTGAAAGCGTACAATTTTAAAATATCACCAGGTGAATGAAAGTGGATCTTTACAGCAGCACCAGTGGAGTGCATGTACGGTAGCAACAATCGTAGAAGCTTTACATGTATTGTTGTCGGACCTTGTTGTCTCGTTGTGGAACCATAAAGCACAACCCTTCTTCGGTTCCATCTTGTCCTTTAGAAGGCCGGTCTCTACCGGAGCGACTAAAGTAGCGACTAAAGGAATCCTTTAGGTGGTTGTTTAGTTCAAGATTTAGTCATTATCCTTTAGTAATGGTGGTGTCTACCAGCAGATGACTAAATCTCGGACTAAACAATTTAGTCGAGTTTTTAGTCAAAACATGGAGTCTACCATGGCGACTAAACAAATTGACTAAACAATTCATGGGAACAATACTGGACTTAAAGGACTCAAAAAAGATTTAACAAAAGTGATCACTTGGTGGGCTACCAATATTCTATCAGCATGGTGGATTTAAAGACTCAAACAAAAGACTTAACAGAAGTGATTACTTTTTTTGAGATAACAAACTCAAAACACACCTCTCCTCTGTCATCGTTTGCACCTCTACATCATTCAGTCAAAGGCCGAAAATGAAAGCCATCCCGCCTCCATACTCTGCAATGAGGGATGGCTTCTATTCTCAACCGAAGACTTCGGCTTGATAAAGTGGTAAGTGCGATTGATCGTCTCGATACTCCTCTTCGATCGTTCGTTTCATCGTTCGATGTTCGATCGATCGCCTTACTATCGCCGATACTCCTCTCTCGGCGTTCTCTTCGATCCGATACTCCTCTTCGATCGTTCGATCGGTTGCACCTCTACTCTATCAGCTCTGTCGCGATGCTCTGATAGTGAGGCTGTGCAATGAGGGTGCTGTTCTTTTTTAAAATGCTGTTCTTTTTTTAAAGATTCTTAAACAAGCTTTAGTCCTTACGCTCGTTCACCGACTAACGGGAGGCTGGTTAGTCGGTGAAGGAGCGTAAGGACTAAAGGCTTTAGTCCGTACAACGTTTAGTCCCTATGGTAGACACCACCACAGAGACTAAACTATCGACTAAACTATGAAATATGGCTTAGCGCTACTTTAGTCGCTCCGTAGAGACCGGCCTAACCATTTGGCAGCTCAACTGGTTTAATCTTTGGAAAATTAATGATGGCGAAAAAAAATTCCACTTTCCCTTCTCAAGACTAGACTTTTGTCACTCCTTTGCTTGTTTCCTGTTAGTTTCTTCTTTGGTTGCTTTCTTCCGACGAGCGTTTTGCGATGGTAAAACGATCTCAGGGACAGGACACCATGACAGAGTCAACAGCAGACTCACAGCAGAGATGTTTCCGCCGATATGGTACAAGATGCATGTGGCTTTGTCTGGCAGTTGCATTGGTACTGCTCTCCTTGGTACAATCCTGGCAGCGAGTCCAACAGCATGCAAACCTGACGTTGAATGATAATAAAGACCATGCCACTTCCTTGCAAGTTGCGGAACTGCAATCCAAACTGGATGCCTTGAACGAGCGGATCAGGCTCCTCCTCGAGAAGAATGCCAACAATTCAAACAGCAATGCTGACCCTCCGGCAGCAGAAACGACGGCAGCACCCACAACAGTTGTACCTGCAACTGTGGAACCCACAACTGAAGCACCTGTTTCATCCACTATTCGAGGTACTCCCACCATAACCACGGCGAGTCCATCCAAGTTTCCTTATCATGTTCTCTATGGGCTCTCGGGAAACCAAACCGGCTTTCTGTCCGAGTTTCAAGTCTCCCTCAAGAGTGTCCTCTTGAATGCACCCCTGGAAGAAGCCTTGCATGTGCACATTTTAGCAGATCGAGATGCCTTTCAAGCTCTGGAAAAAACCGTCTGGAAGGAAACAAAACTGGAACAATGGGTCACCCGTCATCCCATAACGATTCATGTCTACAATGTACAACCTCTCTTGAAGACGTGGGAGGAAAAGTTGGTTCAGTTCTTCAAAACTGCCTGGAAAGAAGACTATGGCATCAACTTTTCCACGGATGATCACACCATTGGCACCATGTTTCGATTGTTTGCGCACAAAGTGTTGCCCAAACATGTGCACAAAATGCTCTATCTAGATCCCGATGCGCTCCTCATGACCAACATTCAAGAGTTGTGGAGACAGATTGATGAGGACACACTGTTTCAGTGGGGCCGGTCCATGTGCGCTGGATTCATGCTGATTGACAATCTGCGGTTGCCACAAGTGTGGAGTTTGGCGGAACTGTCGCATATGGCCAACGTGTCTGACACCACTGGAGACGGCGCCAATGACCAACTGGTCTTCAAATCCGTCTCCATGTCCTTCCCCGATCGAGTTGGTATCCTCGAAAAGGCATGGGATGTCAATGTAGCCGACGGAGCTTGGATGTATGCCAGTCAGTTTGCCGAACACAGTCCTCAAGTGGGAATGATGCATTTTAATGGAGGGACGAACAGCAAAGAATCGGCCTTTGAAACCCACAACTTTTTGAAAGACGACGTCGAACCTCCCAGTATGCGAGGAACATGGGGAATGGCGCACTATTATGCCCGCATGCCATGGGACTGGGCTCGATATTGGGCATCTAGTAAGGTCACTACTACTTCTTGGGAGGGCGACGAAGGAGACGGAGCGACGAAGCGTTCAGGGTTTCCAGTTACCATTGTTCGCCACAAGACCGGTAAGAAAAGGTGAATCAATTCCCAAGCCATGAGGCACCGCGCTTGTGAGGAATGAAACTACCAGGTACCCGGAAGAGGAGCCATAGCAACAACAAGCAACGTAAGCTGTGTATGTTGCATCTGCAAAGGTCGTCGCAAAGAAAAATATGTGTGATAATAATAGAACTAATAGTATGTGTTATGAATGTGGAACCCTGGCTACACAATATCCAACGTTACAGCAACAACTACTGAAGCGCTCAAACGAATCGAATCCCTCGCCCGTGTCGTCGTCGCTCTGTCACTAGCGCCTTTCAGGCTCAATGTTCAAGATAGTTTTCATGCCGTAATTGACCCGTCCATCAGGCGTCGGTTTGCCACCAGTGCTTTTCTGGCTCAATGTTCAGGCTGGTTTTCATGCCGTAATTGACTCGTCCATCAGGAGTACAGGATGCGGCAACCTCGTGGCCGTTCAAGTATACCTCCTGGTAATCAAAATCGTAGTCCTTGGGGTCTCTGCGGTGAGTCTCCTTGTCGGAACCACCAAATGCGGTTTGACCCAAGGAAAAGGCGTCCTCGTTGCAGAAACGCTGGCCATTGCACCTGGTGGCTCGCCGATTTTCTGCACGAGAGAGGGGCCTGTTCCCATTGGACCACATCACTTCAGTTGGCGTCACAGAACCCGAGTTTGGAGGACCACGCCTCTTCTCGTTGGACAAGGAACCTGCCCCCTGATTGTTCTTGGTCATGAACTTTAGGAGACCACCAGAGATGGACATGCGGCCATTAAACGTTGGGCCCTCATCCAAATGGTTAACTTCGCCAAGATTCAAGGGTGCAGAGTATTCGCTGCGCCTCCTCTCGTTGGACAATGATCCCAAACCTTGGCTGTGCTCTTGGCCGTTGCTCTTGCCCATGGACTTGATACCATCGGACATGGGACCACCAGACATGGGGCCATTAAACGTTGGGCCCTCATCCAAATGGTTAGTTACTTCGCCAAGATTCAAGGGTGATTCCAAGCCTTGGCTGCGCTCTTGACCGTTCCTCTTGCCCGTGGACTTGAGACCCTCGGACATGGGACCATTGGACCATGTGTCTCCGTGATCCGGCAGCTCATTATGATCCACGGGACGTGAAGTTCTCACTTCTCTTCGCATCCTCTCCTTGTTGAACACTGATCCCAGGACTTTGCTGCTGCCCCCTTTGTGTATAGGTTCTTGCCAATTTGACGTACCAACGTCGGTAGGGCCGCTGAACCAAGTGCCTTGGTGGTTGGAAGTAGTTTCGTGGTCTTTGGGGCGTCGATTGAGTTTTGGGGGGCCGACTCCTCCGCCAAAACGTGGCACTCTGCTTTGCGATCCATTGGTCAGAATCAAGCGTGATGCAATCGCAGCAGCGACGACTCCCGCCAAATGAACAGCCAGGTTAACGGCTCGTTTCCCACCGTATGCTGGAGTCGAGATTTCTTCTGCAAATTGTCGAACTGTAAACAAACCCATGACGAGCACTTCCAAGAGGATTCTCCAATTGCTAAGTAACCTTGAAATACCCGACCTGGCAAGATACTCCAGTTGACTCGTGACCGCCACAAGAAAGATTCCCAACATCCCGCCTGCAGCTCCCACACTGACTGTTCGAGCGGGCAGAAATGAAAGAGAAACCAGGCTGGACACAATTCCGCAGAGGGAAAAGGTCAGCAGAGCACCTTTTGGGCCGAATTCTGCTTGCACAGACCGTCCATATGGAAGCAGGAAGGCCAAGTTGCTGGCGAGATGAATGGTGCTTCGATGGCAAAAGCAAGACGACAGGGGTTGCCAGAACTTGAATCTGGATAGGCCATGCCAGAGATACAAATAGCGCTTGACATAGTTGTATCGATAGCGGAAAACATGGTCAACCAAGAACACACCGATTTCTAGTAGCAAAATGGAGTGAATGCCAGGTAGGGACAGCTGGATGGAGTTTGTTTCCCGAGGTTCTTCGGCAAGAAAACCAGATTCTAGTGCGGTGGAAGGATTTCGTGGCTGATTTGAAAGCGCATAGAAATTGGATGAGGAAGGGAGGCTAATCGGATGTCGGAGAAGATTTCTTGTTGCTAGCTTGGTGGGCTGGCCGCCAATGGGTTGAAATGCCTGCCCTCCGGCCAAAAGGAGAATCAAGAGACAGCAAATGGAAGCCGACAACCGAACCATCGTATAGAGTATTGGATACGCAGTGGGTGTGCTATTGAGATTGGTCCGCTTCTATGGTGGTATAATACGATGAATGAGGAATCCTTTTATTATTGACAGGCTTCTTGCGTTTGTGGCGTCTTCGTCTCTGCACATCGGCGAGGTTTTTCAACAAGTGTTCATTTTTTAAATCAAAAAGTGAGCAGAGTTCGGCAAACATGACAGTAGACAGCTGGCAACCATAAACGGTTATCACCACGTCAGCACCTACCGTAGCAAAACAAGCTCTGGACTAGATCTACTCTCCACACACAGCTCCGACAAGGATTATGTCACCGACGGTCTCGCCCTGCTCAACTGAAGAGTTTTGGTCCCTCGGACCAAAACCAACCTGGAGGTTTTGGTTGGTGTGACCAATACCTTTTTCAGAGTTTTGGTACCATAGACTACGGGTACCGGGAAGGCGAGGTTACAGATCCTAGCTAGAGCTAACTCTGCTATTGATCAATAAGGTGTCTATCTAATGAAAGGATGGTCTATTTGGTTGGTAATCGGCGTTCTATTATCTTACTAGTCTAGTTACATCTATCGTACGAAAGAAGTCGCCCGAGGACTTGTCGACTCTCTTGTGTGTTGTCGCCTTCTCCGACCGGTTAACTGTTGCCTTTTCAATGACTCGACGACGATCCGTTCATGCTGGTGATAGGGCTGGAGTTAACAGAGCCTCCTCCGCAGTGGTAGCCTCTCATCTTCTTGTTATCCGGAGCGGTCGATCGAAAAGGACTCGACAATGGTAGTTCGCCGGCCGTCGGCAGTGCAGCAGAGAAAACAACAAATAGATATGAGTTTTGTTTTCTGTGCTCAACTGCAGACAACCGGCGACTTACCCTTGCTTTCAAATTGAACCAACTTGGCCGTCATGGGCTGAGAACTGACTGCCATCCCATGGTCCATAGGATTCAATGAGGGATGGCTTTCGAATCTGCACCAGAGAAGGACGGCTTGAGTGAGGCTTGGATAACAGAGATAACAGAGGTGCGATCGATCGATTCGAATAATTAAAGAACAACTCACCTGTTGACAGCCGAGCTCGGATTTCCATCCTGAATACCATAGAAATCCAATGAGGGAGAGAAGTCAGCGCTGTACCTTCAATTAACACTCTTGATAATAGGCTTACCTCATTGCGAGATCGATTGATCGGCTTGAATAAAGAACTCCTCCAACTGGTAACACACTATTGTTGGTCAAGCTTGGATTTCTCTCCTGTTTACCATAGAAATTCAATGAGGGAGAGATGTCAGTGCTGCGCCTTCAATAATAACACTCTTACTTGATAATAGACTTACCCGTAATAGTAGTAGCAGGAGGAGCGAGATGATCAACTGAGGCGGTCAATACCGGTAGCCGCCATTGGGTGGTTTTGTGGAGGAGGAATGAGAGATTTTGTCACGTGACGTCTGTTTGAATTCTTGACTGTGAAAAAAGAGTACTCTCCAAAGCATTAAAGGTTCGGCTTTTGTCGAAAAGGTTGAGGTTATTGCGCAGCTTCGGTTGAACGTTATCTGTCGGTTTGCGCAGGGCGACACCGTCTGTGTTCTAATCTGTACCACACATCACATATCCTACCGGTACTAGTACTACCAATAGCTCTAGTAGGGGTACCTGATACACAGTGTGTGGCAGATGGCTATGCATATGGGGAAGTTGCAGATGAATGGCAATCAGCAGTGTGCCAAGTTAGGGGAGCCAAAGATGGAAGTTGGGACAGGCCGTGGCGGTGGTCGCCGGGGGCAGTGGTCGCAAAACTTAGGCTTGTCTTGTGGCCATGCAGTGCTCAACTTCTGTTCAATGGTACGGTGAACCCAGAGCAATCCCTCTCCTTCATTCTACACTGCAATGTAGAAGAATCACACATGCTCCGTTCCTAGACTGGCTGCCACTGCATGTAGCTGTCAAAAGGTGGAAGTGACTTCATCATGGCTGCTGTACAATCTGTATTTTTGTAGCGGTGGTGCCTGAAGTTTTCAATGCAGGGTGCTTCTATAAGGGGAAGAGTGATTGCAAGGGTCTGCTACCGTATGAGCAAGGAATGGGAAAGGAGAGAAAGAGTGGAGTCCAGATGGAACACAGAAGCTTTAGTGTCAACTAATTTTGTCTTTTTATATCATCATCACCATGCCGATTACGGCGCTGTCAACGGCTTTTTGCTTCGATATAGTTGTCTAGCCACAGTGACGATTGAGTAACTACCGTACAAACTAATTTAGTTTGCTAGACTAGTTTACTTAGGCTAGACCAGCAAGCAACGCAATTAGACATGGGCAATGATTCCAAAACCAAGACCAATAAGAGAGGGAGGGAGCAACAAACGCAGAAGATGCCTGCAAACCGTCACTGCTATCGTCACCATCTTCCAAGGAAACCAAACGAAAACCAGAGGGATAATCCACTCGATTGGTACTGGCTTGAACATAGGCATCGTACTTCTGTAAGTCCTCTTCTGTAAAGTAGTCCGAAACCTCAATATGCTTGGATTCCTGGCACTTGATAACACCATTTGGGTCTGGTTGGGGCACAAGACTGACATGGGCACAGTGATGGTTGTTGGTGCCTGCAAATTGGGCATGGAGAGCCCTGCAAGCCTGAGAGTTCCCATCCGCATAGACCCCATCTGTTAGAGTTGGCAGTCCCTTTAGGGCTTCCATACAAGCAAGCAAGTCCGAGTCAGTATCATTGCCAGTCTTTGACATGACCACATTGACTTCGGCAAAGACCTCTTGGTTCAGTGCCCATGTTGCAGGACACGAATCCCTCATAGTCTTGCAGACATAGCGACGGGTGCGATCGTCGTTCAGACTGATATCAAAAATTGCTTGTGCAAAGGCATCCGGGTACTGGTAGAAGACTTTAGTGATGTAGTTCTCCACCGGATCCATCTCCAACACAGTGATGAGCGTGGCATTGTAGGAACCTCCTCTGGAATTCTCGTTGCCAATCGTAAACCAACTGTTGTGGAGGATTCGAAACTCGCAAGTGCCATTGGGGCCGATTCCTCTGAACTCTACGTCTTTGGTTCCATCAGACTCTTCCACAAAAGCGCTGTATCCTGCTTGGATGAAATCAACGTATTCCGTGATTTCATCCAATCCTTGATACGTACCTGCTCTGGCGTATGACATGGTCGAGTCCTCTCGGAAGAATTCGGGGAATCGATCGCGCTGGTTGTACCCAAAGTTCATCTGGACCATGGCACCAAAACATTGGGTAAGAGTTGGGGTTACGGCAATGCTAGTAGAGTCATCAGCTTGCTGGGCCCTTGTCGAGCCCATTGCAAGAAGTAGAGCGCTAAAGAAGGAGAAACAGGAAGCACGCATCATGGCTCGGTAGTCTTAGCGTGGTGGTTGGTACTTTCTCTTCTTTCTCTTGTACTCTGCGCTTCTGAAGTTTGTGAACCTAACAAGGATTGATTAATACTCAGGCGTTTCAGCTCATTTGCTAAGGAAGGAAAAGAAGTCGGGGATATCTTGGATGAGCACGATGAAGACATCGCGTGCACTACGGTACCGTAGCTGGGCCAAAGTCAGTGCCGTTACCGTTCGCCATGACTGTGGATTTTGCGCACAAAGATCTCCCGCCTCACTTTCAGCCTTCCTTTATCGGCGCTTGATCTTGCCTCGTCCTCGTCCTCGTCCTCGTCCTTTGAATTCCACGGTCACTCGTGCACCTTCGGCTTTGCCTCAGGTTTGCACGACTGACAGGCAACAGGGAAGGGCACTCTTTATCTCCTTGGCTTCCAAGGAAGTTTCATTCCGATCTCTACCCGTACTTTCCGAAAAGTAGAAAAACGGTCGATCGTGAGAGGTTCGCAACGCGTAAACCGATTCAGGGGGGTTTAGAGTATAGGGAAAACCGATGACTGACCAGGCATGGGTGAGCAACCGCAAACACTTGACTCAACATCCAAAACACAACCCGCCCATATCACCGCACATCTACGTACTACGGTAGCTGGCTAGAGTAGCACATCAACAACAAGCACCATGCCCTTCAGTACAAGCACGAAGAAGCGCAACCGCCTCAGGGCGCCACCAAGTCGAATAAGATGGACAATCTCCGGCAACGACGAACAACAAGGACGACCTGAACTACTTGAGCTGTCAACTGACGGAAAATTTGGCTCGAGCCGAGACTCGTTTCGTCAGCATCCTCCGCATCGCTGTCATGTCGGCGCTCTTGACGACTAGTGTTGTCTCTGTGGGCGTATACTTGTGCACCCGACACGAAGAGCGCGTATGAGCGCACGAACTTTGTGACACAGTTTGAAGACAGCGCGTTGCAGGTGCTCTAGTCCTTTCACGACACTGTCGAGCGGAATTTGGGCGCCGTGGGATCTTTGTCGACCGACTATACCTCGTACGCACAGCACTCCAATACGAGGTTTCGCTTTGTGACTCTGCCAGATTTTGCCCTCCGCGGATCTCAGTTTCGTGCGCAGTGGGGAAGTCACATTGTGCACTGGTTGCCGCTGGTTCAGGAAGAGCAACGAGACGCATGGGAGGAATACTCGAAGCAGAATCGGGCTCATATTGACGACGAGTTTGCCACGGACGCGCAGTTTCGAACCAAGCAAGATGCAGAGCTTCTGGGACATGATGCAGATGCCACAAGAAAGCTCCAAGATCCAAGACAGCGCACAGGTCATGGACGAAATTTACGAGAGATTCCTGCTGTGGGATGGAGAAGAAGAGAATCGAATCTGCCCACTCCGCCTCCAGGGAACATGAAGGGGACGGCACTGGATATCATTCCAAGATGTGGACGCTGGTTGAAGTTGCAGATGAAAGTCATCCAGCAGTGGGCAAAGTTAGGGGGGCAAGAGATGGAACTTGGGACATGCCTTGGCGGTGGTCGCCGGGGGCAGGAGATGCAAAACTTAGTCTCGCGGGCATGCAGTGCTTACCACCTGTTCAACGGTACCCTGAACCAAGAGCAATCCCTCTCCTTCATTCTCCTCTGACGAGCGGGCTCTGGCCATGACTATAAGCAGAGCAATGTAGAGGACTCACACATGCTCTGTCTTAGACTGGCTGCAACTGCATGTAGCTGCCACAATGTGAAAGTTACTTCATAATGGCTGCTGAACCATCTATGTTTTTGTAGCGAAAATTCCTGAAGTTTCAATGCAGGGTGCTTCCATGAAAGGAAAATCGATTGCATGGGTAGGGTATATCCCACTATGAGGAAGGAATCGGAAAGGAGAGAAAGAGCCAAGTCCAATGGAACACAGAAGCCTTAGCCGCTTAGCTAGCCAGATTATATCCAAGAAAAACTTTACCATAAAGGGTACAGAAAGGGGGGCTAGAGAGGGAAGTTATCTACGGAAGCCATGGTGTTAGTGTCCTTCATCATGAGACCCAGGGCAGCCATTGTCACGTAGCCACTGGATCAGTTCGCTTCTTCTGGTGCTCAGGGCAATTTGAAATGTCCCTTCACTCCATGGACAGCCATTCTCGCGAGCCCACTTCAGAATTTCCAAATGGCCACCTTCAGCAGCACCATCACATGTCCGTTCATCCCATGGACAACCATTTCCACGAGCCCACTTCAAAATTTCCAAATGCCCATTTTCAGCAGCGCATGCACATGTCCTTGTACCCCATGGACAACCATTTTCGTGAAGCCATTTCAGTATTTCCAAATGTCCATTTTCAGCTGCAAACCAACACGTACTGTTATCCCATGGACAACCATTTTCACGAGCCCATTTTAAAATTTCCAAATGTCCATGTTGAGCAGCACTCTGGCATGTCCCTTGATTCCACGGACAACCATTCTCACGAGCCCACTTTAGAATTTCCAAATGTCCATGTTGAGCAGCATGCCTGCACGCCCCTGCATTCCATGGGAGTGGTTGTTGTCGTGCCCATTTCATGACAGTCAGATTTCCAACTGAGGCAATGGCGTTACAAACATTGTGATGATCAGGCGTTTTGTTGCTGGAATTGTCCTTGAGCCAGTATTCTGCACGTGGCTGATTACAGAACGTTTCGCTGTAAAGAGTATCAGTGTTTTTTGCAGAGCGATCATCAAATCCCAGATTATCTTTTACCTTTCTTGGATTTTTCTTGAGTTCAACTTCACAGTACTCTTTGTACAGTTGATTCATCTTTTTGTTGACAGCTCCTACAAAACCGTACTGTCCAACACCAACATACGATAGAATCTGGCCAATCCAAATCATATCGTCAGCAAACAGAAGAGATTCAAAGGGAGGAGACATCTTCTGTTTTTTATTGTCGTTTGCACTGTTATTGTCAGCGGCAGCAGTGCTCGCGCCAGTACTAGCAACAGTAGCAACACTATCAGAAGACATGGTACTGCCAAAGGGAGCAACGGACTCGACACCACTCAGCAGTGCCAGTCGGAGTGAATGATTAGACGCGTCGTGCTAACCTCAGGAGCCCGAGGGCGCTTTATCGCTACGATGTGGTTGCTGATGGCTCTGCTGATGATGCAACGCTTTACCCATGATTGACTTTATTCGCGGCAGCTGGTTCTGGCATTTTCTCACTTTTAGAGTGATTTTATTGGTTAGAATTGCATTCTGAATTGGATCTTTTGTATCTTTTTTTGTGTCTTTGGGAACCGTTGATTGATGGCTTTGAGAGAGGCCTTCAGGTTTTCCTCTCTCTTGCTGCCAGAGGTATTTTTTTCATTTTCAAGACGACAGACTGTATCCGTTGATCTATTATCATCTATCTACGGTGGCTATTTACCCTGCTTTGAATTAGCTCTACAACTCCACCATGACTATGCTTCGTCCCTTGACGGCCGCCTTTGGGCGTCAGTTGGCCATGAGGCGAGCTCCTCAATTGACGCTTCGTCCTGTTGCTGGTGTCGCTCCTCGCTTCTTTTCCGATGTTGCCACTCCGGCTGCTCCCACGTCGAGTCATCCCCACACTCCCTTGCCCAATGCCACTGGATCCATTGTGTACACGGAGACGGATGAAGCTCCTGCTTTGGCCACCTACAGTTTGTACCCCTACATTGCCAAGGTGCGTCTTATTCAAAATTATAAATGGAATTGAATGACTGAAGTCAAGTTTTTAATGAGGGAAGAAACGAGTGCTGGACCATTTGAAATTGCAAAAATTCAATGAGCACTGTTGGACTGTCACTTGAAGCATTCAATCTACCCAATTGGTATCCGAACTCGAATTCTCACACATCTGTGTCTTTTTTTGGTTATCTTCTTTTTATTTAATTTCAGTTTTCCGCCATGGCTGGAATTGACGTGGTCCCTGCCGACATTTCCGTGGCCGGACGTGTGTTGGCTGCCTTTCCCGAATGTCTCAAGGAAAAGCAACGCGTTGCCGACAACTTGGCATACCTGGGCGAATGGGCCAAAACACCCGACGCCAACATTGTCAAACTCCCCAATATTAGTGCCCCACTCAATCAATTGGAGGATTGCATCAAGGAACTTCGTGGAAAGGGATACGATGTCCCTCTTTATCCCAAGGAGCCATCGACTCCGGAAGAAATGGAAATTCAAGCCAAGTACAATGCCCTCATGGGATCGGCTGTCAATCCCGTCTTGCGTGAGGGAAATAGCGACCGTCGTGTGGCTCCTCCCGTCAAGAAATATGCCCAAAAGAATCCTCATCGATTGGGAATCTGGTCCAAGGCCAGGTAAGAAAACAAAAAACAAAAAAATCTATGGGACGGTTCTCTTGTCATTATTGGTTGCTCTGTTATCATCATTGTTTACTCACTTTCAATTTTTTTTGTCCAGTCGCACCCACGTGGCTCACATGGACAAGGGCGATTTTTATGCCTCGGAGCAGTCTGCCATTATGAAGGATGATACCAGCGTTGTCATTGAATTGGAAACTGCCAGTGGCACCACGGTTTTGAAGGAAGACACACCTTTGGTCAAGGGAGAAGTCATTGATGCTTCCTTTATGGATGTCAAGGAACTCTGCGAATTCTTTGAACAGGAAATTTCCGAAGCTGCCGAGACGGAAACTCTCTTGAGTTTGCACTTGAAAGCCACCATGATGAAAGTGAGTGACCCTATCATGTTTGGACACTGCATTCGCGTTTATTACAAGGATGCCTGGGCCAAGCATGGAACGAAGCTCGAAGACATTGGAGCCAATCCCAATGAGGGTTTGGCGGCTCTCTTTGACAAAGTCAAGGATAAACTCCCCGAAGCCGAAGCCAAGAAGATCATTGAGGACTTTGAGGCTTGCTACGAAACTCGTCCTTGGTTGGCCATGGTCAACAGCGACAAGGGAATCACCAACTTGCATGCTCCAAATGACAGTGAGTATCATGTGAATCTGCTCAGAATCTCCAAACACCTGGATTGACGCATTGGACCTCACGGTTGTTATTTTCTTGACGCATTTTGCAGTTATCATTGATGCCAGTATGCCAGTTGTAATTCGCGACTCTGGAAAGATGTGGAACAAAATGAGTGAGTATTGATTGCATCGGCAGTTATTAGGGCAGGCACTGGCTCCTTCAACAACTCATCGTTCATTCTTCTTTCTTCGCTGGTTGTAACTATGTAGATGAGTTGGAAGACACCAAGTGCCTGATCCCTGACCGGTGCTATGCCTCCACATACCAGGAAGTCATTTCCTTTGTCAAGACCAAGGGACAATTCGATGTGTCGTAAGTTTTCGTGTGGCTGTTTCTCTATGAATTTCGTTTCGTCTTTCTACGGCTCATCGTGGCATGCTCTGTTCATCAAAGAACCATGGGAAATGTCGCCAATGTTGGTTTGATGGCCAAGAAGGTGAGTGCTGTAAATGGAAGATTGCATCTCTGGCTAAATCAAGATACCTTGAGGCGCCCTTCTAAGCAATTTCACTTGGGTTGTGTAGGCTGAAGAGTATGGTTCCCATGACAAGACTTTCGAGCTTCCCGAATCTGGAACTGTCAAGGTCAAGGACAAGAACACCGGTGAGGTGTACTTGGAACACAAGGTCAGCAAGGGAGATATTTGGCGCATGTGTCAGACCAAGGATGAAGCCATCAAGGATTGGGTCAGGCTGGCTGTCAGCCGTGCACGTGCTACGGGAGCTCGTACTGTCTTCTGGTTGGACAAGAACCGTGCCCATGACGCCACCTTGATTGGATTGGTCAATGGGTACCTCAAGGACCACAACTTGGATGGTTTGGATATTGCCATCATGAGACCAGTAGATGCTGCCCGTGTCTCCATGGAACGTGCGGTGGATGGGAAGGACACCATTTCTGTGACTGGAAATGTCCTTCGTGACTACTTGACAGATCTCTTCCCCATTCTGGAATTGGGAACATCTGCCAAGATGCTTTCCATCGTTCCACTCCTCAAGGGAGGTGGTCTCTACGAGACCGGTGCTGGAGGATCTGCCCCCAAGCACGTCCAGCAGTTTGTCGAGGAAGGTCACTTGCGTTGGGATAGTTTGGGCGAATACCTCGCCATGGCAGTCGCTTTCTCTTCCCTCGGGGAACAAGGCAACGAACAAGCCAAGATTCTGGGAGAATCCCTAGAAGAAGCTGTGGGACGCATTCTTACCAACCGCCGTAGTCCTTCCCGTACTGTGAACCAAATCGACAACCGCGCCACCAACTACTACGTTGCTCTCTACTGGGCTGACAGCCTCCAGCAAAAGGATCCCGCGTACAAAGCAATCTTCGAGGCCTTGTCGGACAACCGAGCCCAAATCGTTGAAGAATTCAAGGAATGCCAAGGCAACCCTGTCGATCTCGGCGGATACTACCTTTACGATCCCAAGAAGGCATTCGCGGCAATGAATCCTTCTCCAACACTGAACAAGATTATGGCTGACTTTGGGCCATCTCTCTAAACACAGTCAGCTTGAATGAGAAGCAAATGAGTTGTGACGGAGCGAAGAAAGAAAAACAAAAGTATTCAGCAGAGTAGTATTTTGGTTTTGATTACTTGCAGCAGAACTAGCAATCACGTAGAATGGATCGTATCTTTAGTGTTTGCTGTTGACACCACAGGTTGGCCATGTTTCCAGTACTAGGATCATTACTCGTGAAACAGGTCGGGGAATCGAAAGGGCAAGAGCAACCCAGTTGACTAGCTGACCATTGTCAACTATCAATGCGTCATACCGGTACAGCAACCGATGCCGGTATCTCGACAGGATGCAGGCTACATCCGAGCAGGCAGCATACTAGTAGCACACTTCACTACCACGTTCATGTCGCTCCTGGAGCATTTGTTGAACAAAACTGCCATTGTCTAAGGCTGCTGTCATTATCTCTACTATCAAAAGGATTCCGTTCTACTTTATTTGTCTTTCTAGTTAAAATGAATGCACCCGAATCGGTCTGCTTCCTCTTCTTCTCATGCCCCTGGAGCACAGACAAGCGCCCTCTGGCAGTGGACGTTCAAGAGCAACCCATCAATATCAGCATCTTCCAGACCTTTGAAACCCTCCCTCAGAGCATTCCCGAGGCTCTGGCTAAGCTTCTCGAGAGATTCCGTGGTACGCTCGACTTCATGACGCTGAAAGAAGATCTGAGCCTTGTTGTTCAACGTAGCGATCAAGACATTGGAGCAATCCAGGTGGACGGCGCATTTGAGAACCTCCAAGCTGTAACCATATAGCTCAAGAGCTGTCTTTTCATAGATGTCATTAAGGCCAGACTCTTTGTGATAGAGCATTGCAAGGTTGAGAAGAATCACAGCCTTGTAGATCTCTCGGTGCTCTTCAACGAGCTCAAGCCCCGTGTTAAACGCAAAGGGCTTTTGAAAGGTGAAACTCGCGGCTTCCCCTTGCCGAACAGCAGCCCCTTCAAAAGCAGCCGTTGACACAGGTACAAACGGCACATCGGACACTCGGAGAGCCTTGTTGATGCTTGGATCCACTTTGTCATTGGGAAGAAACCCGCAATAGGCAATCCCATCGCTCAATGCTTCCCATGCACCCTTAAAGAAACCAAACGCACCTATGCGGTCTCCGAGAAGCAAGGCGGTAACCCCCTGGTTGTTGACAGACGCAGCGAAGTCCAGATAGTCCATGATCCTCCACCAGAATGCGAAGTGGTGAGCGAGTGCTTTTCTTCTAACAATGATGGTGGATCTGGGTATGCAATGCAATGGAGACGCTGTGAAGCTGACTATCATAAGTCGGAGATGGCTTGCAAACAACCTTGGGATCGTCCACCTTTCTAGTTTTGGGACAAGTTAGTCAGGTGTGAAACGAGAACGCGTCGCAGTCTAAGGACTTTTGTGATCTTTTTATTTATTGAAGCTTCTCCACCACGTCAGAAAAGTGGAACTCTAAAACCAATCAAAGAGTAAAATGCTTTCAGGAAGGAAGATTTCCCCTCTCACGTCATTCCAACTGAATTTTATTTAATAACCATGCGTCAGGTTCTCGTTGACCAAGCTGTCGTCATCCCCTCCATAGTTTTGTCATACTCCACTCGCCCTTTGTTTTTAGAAGAAGACAGAAAGAGGTATCCCGGAACAGCTCCCACAACTACTCAAGACGGTGTAGTACGGTTAACCGTACTACCCCTTCATAACGATGACATAAAGAGTAGAGTAAAAGTCATTTTAAGACCGGGTGAAGATTAAGACCATGTAATTAATAGAGGTTCTTGCGTAGGATCCTACGTAGCTTCAGTACCAGAGCAACAGAGGTGCTTCCAAAGTGTTCCGTAGGATCTTACAGGAGTCTCCTATGTAGGATCCTACACAGTTAAGTACTGTAAAGTCTTAAACTGCAGAGAAAAAGAATTCGTCACAAAAGTGAGGATATTTTCAATCAACCATAACTCCACTAATAAGTACACTCTGATCTTGGGAATTTAATGGGATACTCAACAACATATGCCCTTTCGATTCAGCTACTTAGAAGTACAATATTCGAGATCTACCTCTTAAGAGAATAATCCGAGGAAAGGTCGGTCGTAAATCGCATTTCACTCTACTCGAGCACTAGTCTACTAGACCTGGCTTCAGTTGACTCGACTCGACTCGACTCGAACTTAGCAGCAAGGACGGTACAGTAGCACATGCTCCTGGCCTTCGTTTTTAGACTGTCACACGGCAAGACCGGCACAGCGGGGCTTGCACGGCGAGCAGGCGAAGTGAATGGAATGATTCAATCGTTCCCATCAATCTCGACCTGAGGATCGTTCCTAACCAGTCATTTTGACCTCTTTATTCCTCCGTGTGTACGCGAAAATCAAGATAACGGCAAAAAGCGGCTTGCTTTCCCTCCATTTCCAAGAAAGCTGCGGTACGGCGTATCATTGATTTCCCATTTTCAATTCGCCGTACCGCAGCTTTCGTGGAAATGGATTTCGCGTAGGACCAATCAGAACGTTAGAGCCAGCCGAACTCAATCACGGTCACAAATCCCCAACTCTAAGGACACTCAGAGATAACAACACCGTTCGATCGAAGCTACCGTACGGGTACGGTACAGTCGTACCAGCTAGCTAGCTACCGTACTAGCTAGCTCTGGACAACCAAGAAGGTTAACAAGCCAAAACAAGTCGTTAACTATCAAGCTGAGGGGACCCTACAAGCTACTACCATTGAATGCTTGTTAGCCTTCTTGGTTGTCGAGATGGGTCCGTTGGTAGCTACTAGTAGCTTCGATCGAACGATGCTGTTTATCCCGGCTGATTCGATTCGATGATTCAATTCGATTCGAATTAATGAATCGAATCGAATCATTCGGTTCATGTTCTTTCGCGTACAGTCGTACCGCGTATGTGTGTCACATGGATAGGAATGAAAACTTGATACGTACGCCTAAATAAATCGATGAAAATAAATGTGTTTCCCGTATGCACGGAGGACACACATAGAGTTTGGTTAGGAACGCACCTGAACTCTTCTTGTCGAGCAGCCACACGCCAAAGAGAACTCGCTCACATCGCAAGCAAGCCGAACAACACACCGGTGTTCGACTGAAAGGGCCCGAAATGACGATTTACACCAAATTCCGATTTATACTTGTGTTTCGATTTTATATTTAGGTTTCGGTTTTATATATTGGTTTCGATCTTATATTTTGATTTCGGCTTGATTTTACTAGTTAATTACCATAGTAATTTGGTTTCGATTTTATATTTAGGTTTTGGTTTTATATTTAGGTTTTGGTTTTATATTTAGGTTTCGAATTGATCAATTTGGTTGGATTCATAAAATCATGATTTCCGGCCCTTTCGCTGGCTCTCCCTCAGCTGGAAAACCTGAACCCTCATGGGTTCTCGGGACTATGACTCCTAATCATGGTTGCCAACCGTACCATCTCACAAAGTGGAAAATCAATTCCCACATTTCGCTGGTACACATCAAGTACATCTCTACATCCTTCAGGTCATCACCCGTGTTCCTGAATTGGATACCTCACATACATGTTGATTGCCACTGCCTCCTTCGCAAGATCAACTCTAAGGCAATAGCACCCCTCGAAGACCGCTCACAGATAGAAACCTTGAATGAACACAACACGCAAGACCGGTCCAACTCTCTCTTTCAGCCATTGAACAGTCAACCGCAAGGAGGTTGTCTCCTTCTCTGCTCACAATTCTTCCTTCAGCCGAGCTGCAAGCAAGAACTAGAATAGATTCTTCCTCCTCGTTCGCCAGGTTTACATGAGGACGAATTCGCTCAAAAGCTGGTCCCAGATGCTCATACGTTTCCGGCCCCAAGCATATCAACAGTACTTTGTACCCCTTTTTATATTCCCAATTTGCCATTTCTTCCACGGTCATGAGAAGGATAGGAACGACAGACCCCTTCGATAGCGTATCAAAAATGACATTATGTTCATTGGGAAAGATAAAACGGTTGATTTGAAGTCGGAAGAGATATTCCAACACCATGCTGTCTCGAAGAGGTTTATCATAAACTCTGGATCCAGCAGTGAGGTCAGCTTTTTGGAATCCTGTGATTAATTCAGCCACCATTCCCCAAAACTGGTAGCATTCGATATCCTTTGGCACGAGATGAGCGCGAGACCTGATGATAGTACCAAGGAAGCTGCGGATATGCCTGTCGGCTTCTTTCTCGTCTTTGGACAGTGGTTCCACGCCGCGCAGATCCCTCCGATCTCTTCTCTGCGTCGAATGGGAGGTCTCCTCAAGTTTAACAACGTCCGTTTGTCCCCTGATAACAGGCAGAGTTTCAATGCCCTCCCCAAGTGAGACTTTGTTCAGAATTGCTCTGTATGCGCCCGGCTTGTTCCTGTTGCGAAGAGTGGAAGCTTTAGCCCATGACCCCTCGAATTCTTCCTCCGCGAAACCTGTTTTCGGTTTCCAGACATCATCAATGGTTGCGTACAGCGTCCCTTTACTATCAGATTCTTGCTCCGCAAGTGGAACCACGTTGAGAACCTGTGCTAAAACCTGTCCTATAGCGTTCCCCATGTACACCTACTTGCTTTGCTTTCCTTTTTGTTTCCCTTTGAATATATTTTTGTGAGGAGAATGGATGGATGCTTTCACATGGTGGAGAAGATAACCGGATACCTACCGGAGTCACGAATGGAACGTTTTATTAAAAAACATAATACTGTATGCTGGTCAACGAAGAACTTTACCACCAGACGAGCCATACCGGTATCTGGTGGCTTCCACGTTCACAAGCTCAGAACAATTCACTACAACTGGCACATGCACCAATGCCAGCTACAAAGGTACTAGTACCAGTACACGGTTGTTCCCTACTTATTCACAGATACTAAAGGATTCAGTGTTTGTTTGTTTTATTTATTAGAGATTCCAAATTATATTCATTATTCTCCTATTTTGTTTCGAAACGGTGTTTGTTGCTCACCTCGAGGATAAGACAGCCTACTGGCTAGTAGGTGGGTTGGTACCAGAGACTATTCATTCATTCTCGATAGTACTTTGGCTACAATTCGCTTCGACTCCACCAGCCAATTTCCCTTTCTGTCTCCCCAAAGGACTGTTGCCAACGTTTCTGCCCTGATAGATTGGATCTGGCCTGTCTTGCAATTGACATCTTTTCTTCCATCCTTCGGAAGGCGGCCTGGGCTTTCCCAATAGCTATCATAGTCTGAAAAACACTCCAGTTTTCACGCCTTCCCCTCTCCTCCATGTTGCGGTCAATGTCTTCATACATTTTTTTGGAGCATTCCACAGCGGATTCACTTGAAATTACGCTTTCAATGCCGTCGTACAAGTAGAAATCCACGAGGAGTGGGTCCTTGATATCTGATATTTTGGGAGATTGGAGGTTTGATTCAGAAGTTTTGGTGGATTTTTCTTCTTCCTCGTCCTCTTCTTCTAAACGCCGATCGAATTCCTCAAACTTTTCATCATACCAGGCTTCATGACGCTTCATGTGCTGCTTTTTTCGCCATACGATTTCCTCCACTTTGAACCGTTCCACTTCCATAGCAAAGTTGTGTTCGTCGCTGTCAGTCCAATTGTCTAGGTCGTCAGGGAGTGCACTGGCCACAACCCAGTTGCGAGCCCTTCGCTTGAACGTTCTTTCCCCGACAATTGTCATCTCCACCTGCACGAGAGCTTCAGTGCCTACAGGTACCTCCTCATCGTCCAATTCGGAATCGCATAGATACTCCCAGTCTCGCTTTCGCTTGCGAGATTCTACGCTGACTAGACACTCCTCGTATCGGTTTTGCTTTTCATCTTCAAACCATTCATCTAGGTTCAATCGCCTTTGCTTGCGAGCTGTAAACCATTCACCTGTGTTCACAATCTTCTTGACAATGACCGACGGATGCCCGTCATCTTCTTCCGACGATTTCGTCATGTCTTCTGTCGCTACGGTATCGCCTTCGCCGTAGTATCGTGAGCTCGAGCGACTGAGAGGGTCACTGATCTGGCTGACAACAGAGTCTGTGTCAAGATGATGATGATCCACCATGGCGAGCGGCGCGTCCTCTGTCTGTGCGGTAGGTGTTGTTGCCATTGTCAACGTAACGTGTGTGTGCGTAACAAATGAACGTACGGTGTGATGAATGACGTTGTATGATATGCGGTGACAAAGATTGCTTCCTCAAATTTATGAGCTTCAGGAGAACGATGCGCTCCAACAATGCCATCGAAAGACATCAAGAAACCTTTAACGGTTGCTGGAGGAGTTTCGATGCCATCTTGATAAGCTCCGATGGGCCGCATCTTGGTCTCGGTCGATGCTCGTCAGGGACGGGACTGACACGACCAGGAGCTCCTTTCCTCCCCTCGGCTCCAATGGTCAACACGAGAGAGCCTCTCTTGGTGTCTCTGCAGTGCCAAAGCTGAAAATAGCGGCAGAATGGATCCATCAATTGAGCTAGACTAGGAAACATTGGAGGTGATGCTGTGACCTGTGACGCTCTTTGCTTGCAATGGTGATGCCAAAGATATAAAACAGCAAGGCTGCTAGTCCCGAATAAGAAACGGGACTGAAAAAAACAGAGTAGAAACTGCGTTGTGTTTTGAAGTTTTGTGCAATCCCCACAGAAGATTAAGAAACCATGCTCTACGGACACCAGTCGGGACTTACCGTTGGACATACCGGTACCAGTACGGTCGTTCTCTTGTTGGGTTATTCCTGTCGGCCACTTGCTCGGGCTCGGCTGCTTGGATTTCGAACAAGTTTTAAGTTTGTATTCGAAGGGTGCGCGCCACCCACACTGCTTCAGGTTGCTCAGCGTCTTGCTCCGAAGACCCAGTCGGAGGGTCACTCCCATGTTTCTCGAGCACATCAAGCTTCTCCTGTCCCAATCCATTTTAAAAACTACCTACTCCGTCCATCGTCTTCCTTCGGGCCCAGCCATAAAGCCATGTATGTACGTTCGGCAAACCAGCATTCTTGAGCATCATGAGCCAGATAAGCTGTTATGAAATTACATAAATTGTTCTGACACCTCCGGATCCACCTCCACTCTCCAAAATCCTGGGAGTGACTCAGCCACAACAACTCGATCAAGAACATGTTGTGGCAACAGAGAAGGGTTGTCTGTTGTCTGTTTGCGGGGACGCCACTGGTGTCACAAAAACAAAAACAAGAACCAGATACATCCTCTACTTTTGTGAGCAATAATAAAATGGAGCTAATAGCATTCCTCTTTGCCTTCGTCATTGTTGCACAAATTAGCTCCGAAACATGGGCATGGACGAGCACTTCTACAATCGACGGAAGATCTTTTGCTCGAAGTTCTTCCTTTTCGACGCAAAAGATGACCGCAAAATCTGCAGAAGAAGAAGAGGACACCTTTGACAAAGTCCAAGTCACGACCAAGACGAACAAGCAATTGATCTTTGACGATCAGTCCGGGCGATTCTTTGAGTCATCCGTGGAGCCCATTGCAGAAGAAGAGTCTGGGAGTACTTCGCCTTACGAAGTGTCCAGCGACGTGGATGTTTCCAACAACGAAATGTTGTCGACCGAAGTCCTATTTGGAAGAAAGGTCGAATCTACCACCACCAAGTCAGGAGACAGATTTCCTCACATGGATCTGGTCACTGACATTCTCGTCTCGGATTATGCGGCCAACAACAACAATGAAATGGACGATAATGATGGTTTGTCATTATCGAGAGAGACCAGTATTGTCGAGCAGTGCTACGAAGCATGGAACCAACGAAATATGGCAGCCGTGGTGGACTGTTTCGATGACAACAACAAGTTTGAATATCAAGACTCGCAATATCTGGGTTCCATCACCACGAAATCAGAACTGAAGCAACACTTTGAAAACCAAGCCAAACTGCTCCCTCCAAACTCCAAGCTGGTCTTGGAAAACATTGCCGTGGATCCAATCAATGGCGATATTGGCGCTCAGTGGTACGTGCAGGAGGAAGAATCCACCAAACGAGTTCCCTTTACCAGAGGATGCTCCTTCTACAAGACCAACCCCGAAAATGGATTGATTACCAGTGGCTTCAAAACCACCGAAATGGTCATCAAACCTAGTAAACAAGCTGCCGATCGCTTGGTGTCCTCTGCATCGCCATTCTTGCAACGACAATCGACAACATTGTTTAGCGCACCACAACAAGAAGAACCAATGGCAGCAGAACCATCCTCTCGAAAATCCATTATTGAAACATACTTTGACGCATGGAATCGACGAGATATGGAAACCGCATTGGACTGCTTTGTGGAAGACTGTGTCTATCAGACCGAAGATCCAGTCTTTGTCGGCACATTTCGAGGAAAGGAGTCATTGCGACAACATTTGGAAAAGAATGCGGCCACATTGCCAGGATCTTGTCGAATCGTATTGGACAGCATTGCCCAAGATCCCATCAATGGCAACATTGGTACCGTTTGGCATTTGCAAGTCGCAAATGGAATTACCATTCCCAATCTACGAGGATGTTCCATGTACACCACGGATCCCATCACGGGATTGCTCAAGAGTGGGTTTGATGTGACCGAAGCGCCCGTCAAGGTGCCTCGACAGTTCTTGTCATCCCCCTTGGCACTGCCAGCAAGGTTTTTGTTTGGACAATGAATGAAAAAGGAGGTTTTCACAGCAGCAACCGATGTAGAGTACTGTAGAGAATAACGGGGAATAGGCAAAGATCAAACGGAGATTTACAGCAACATAAGCCCTGCACCAAGGGGTAACAGGCGCTTCTATCATTCAGAGCAAACACCAGCCACCACAGTCGTATCAAATGAATGAGTTCCACTGCCTCGTCTTAATAAGCGCAATAGAGCTTGCAGGCCATACTCTAGTAATTTGTATAGCTAAATATTTCTAGCCAGTAACGGATAAGCCTCAACTCTAATGAAGGTATCCTGTCAGCGTGGAGCCACTCACTCCACAAACTTTTGAATCGATCGAAAAAAACGGCACAATGGCGCTTTTCCTCCTCTTTCGGCCACTAGCTAGCCAGCCTCTCTCCGTTACCTCATGTGCATCCTCTCATTGACTATCCTATGGCGCCGCTTTGGTGGTGAAATATTGAGGGCTTTCAGGAGAAGAAAGAAGAAGAAGAAGAAGAGGTCGATTCATTCAATGCTCCGGATCTCGCTCTCCACTCTCCGGCTCTCCACTCTCCGGCTCTCCACTCTCCTCTCCAGCCTCCATTCACTGACTCAAGATGGACATCAAACGGACTGGTGACAGCCACTTGTTTTCTTTCTACCACCTAAAAGAGAGAGATCGCCGGCCCCTTGTCACCAAGGCGAGCAGGCAGTACTCCCTCCATTAACACCTCAGAAGTCGAAGTCGCAGATTGATGCCGTATGCACTTGACCAATGTGACACTTTACTGAGTGATGACGAGGAGGAACGAGGAATAGCGATGACGAGGAGGACGAGGGAATACGATGAAGATGACTCGAAAAGCAAGTAGATTATCGGGCTCATGCTTATTTCATCTAGCCTTTTAACACTCTAAAGTACTATTGATTTGATACTACAACACAGGTACTCAAGTAGGGTAGCTAGTATAGTTTGCTTGTAGTTGTTACGTGTGAAGCCAATGACTCGATGTAGCCAAGCTAGAAGCCAAAGCCAAGGTTGCCCGTGCCATCCATGGTATGACAGTGACAGCTACTGTGTCTACTAGATTTGCTAGCTCTGACTAGGAAGTAGAACCAGCAGCTGTCACAGTCATACCATGAGGGCAAGTCAATACATACACACTACAATGCGGGCTAGCTAGCTAGACGAGGAGGGAGTCAAGTCAAGTCAATAGATAAGAAGAGTGCTATTATTTTGGATACCTACACTGCTACTGCTGTTGGTGGGAGCATACCTCCATTATGCTTGTGCCATTTGCCTTTGTTATGTACACGAACTAAAGGTTTGTTGTTGTGGATTGCATATTCAATCTTCATCCTCCACAATCTCATAGGTGTACTCAGTATCAGTGGACTGAGTGCTGATCTGCTGATTTCCAATCAAATCCACCACTCTCCACCAATACAGCATCTTCCTTCCTTTCATCCCAAGGTTCCAAGGTGCCACTGCTTCCTCTCTGTCGTTTGTTGTTGTGTGGTTTCTTCTTCTTGACAGGAACAACAGCAGCAGGGACAGGCTTGACTGCAATAGACATAGGTGGAGGCTTCTTCAAGGCAGCAGGAGGCTTCACTGGAGCCACTCAACCGGAGTAAGACAAGGTTCAGCCACCACAACCACCTCTGCTCCTGGATCTGCTCCTGGGCCTGTTGGCTCAACAAAGGGGCCCTGGCCAGCAGGCAAAATGAACACAATCTCAATGCCTCTGTCAGTTTTCATAACAAGCTCTCTTCCTGAAAGGGGTGAGAATCCAAAGCTGACAAGTCTGGAATCCTTGTCAGACCACCTTCTCTGACAGATGAGTACCAACCTTCCTGCCCTGCTCAAACAGTCAGATACTGGTTCTTCTTGAATCTCCAGAGGAAAGTGCAGTCTTCATCCCACACTTCCACTAGCATATCCAGGTTCGACAGCAATGAAGCCATGGCTCTGGTTGTGGCAGGCGAAGGCTTTGGCTTGGTCTCCTCATCGATACTCAAGTCA